GTGGTTCGTGGTGTTGCTCGTGATGTTGCTCGTGGTGTTGCTCGTGGTGTTGCTCGTGGTGTTGCTGCTGGTGATCAACACTTTCGCGCAGAGCCTGGGCGGCGGCGGCGTCTGATGCATCCTGGAGAGCCTGCAGGCCACCGGTGGCGATTTCGTGAGCAGTCGATGAAGATGTGGTCGCGTGAATCAAGTTTGCGTCCAGATCTGAGGTCTGCATCGAGCCAGGGTCGTAGTCGTCAAGCCCATCATGGTGTTCGATATGTACATGATGTCCATGATGCTCGGGCTCTTCAGAGGCATCGGCAGCGGCAGCAACAGCAGACGCGGCAGCGGAGTCGGATGCTGTGTCGCCGTTGTCGATTTCGGACTGCGCTGCTGTGTCGATGGTAGTCGAGGCGATAGGTTCAGGGTCGACCTTCAAAGCCGAGAGGTCGTCGTGGTCGTCATCGTTCATGTGACCATGATGATCTTGGTCCTGACCCATCGACATGGTGGAAACCAGAGACGCGCTCGATGATACAGACGCGGATTCGCGCGATGGCTGATTGTCGGGGAAGCTTCGGTGCGCGGCGTCCAAGGTGCAGTGGTGATGGTTGAGCGTCGGCAGTTCTGCGGCTGGCTTGTTCAAGGATCACGTGACTCCGCAACCTTCTACACGGATCTGGGCCCTGTCTGTAATCCAGCGGCAGGTGCCACAGGTGTGCCCATGGAGGAAGGGGCAGGTTGCTGCATCATGCCTGCCTCAATGCTCAACCACACGGCTGTCACGTGCATTCAGAATTCGCTTGTCATGGATTTCATCTACGTGCTGCTTTTGTGGAAATGCATTCTTTATTTGATCTTTACTTGATTCTGTCCCTACAGCTCCGTATTGACTTGACCTCCAGTTTGTTGACAATACTAGCCACGACAGTACCCCCTCCTCTTCGAGTCACCTAACGGCTCCAGTGAAACGCGATCACAGGCATCAACAACCCAACCCGCTGAAGACGTTGGCCAGTGGGAGCATGGGCTTATGTCTTCCAAGTTCACTGTCGACAGTACTGAGGTGCGCAGGTCGCCGATGACTTCTGCTTTTGTCGCCAACATCGATGGGCTCAGCCTCCCATTCCCGGCCCACGCTCAGTGGTGATCATGCGACAACGGAGAAGGCAGGTCCGGCATGTGCAGCGTCACCAGCTCTCTCTCGCGACACTCGCAGGCGGGCGAGGCCCAGATCATGCGTCCCACGATGCGCCCGTCCTTCACCAGCATGCCCATGCCGTCGAGGTGCGACAGCTTATACTTGAGCCCCGGAACGCGGTATGCCACGGCCCGATGCAACTCGGCCGTCGGCGCAAAGGCGCCGACGCGGAAAGCGAACGTCCCATGGCAGGTTGTGCACGTTACCCCGACCATGTAGTTGTACGGGTGGCAGTGCATCGTCGCGAACCGTGCGTAGCTCAGGTCAATACGGCTCTCTGAGAGCTCGCCGACGACCGTGGTCAGGGACATGATGTCTGCGAGCCACTCGGCGCACTCCTCTCCCTCGCCGCACATCGACCATGGTTCGGCCCAGGGAGTGTTGTACTGATCCCGGAGCAGTTCCTCAAGCTCTGTGAGGTTATCGTGGGCCTTGAGATGCTCCATGATGATCTCCTTGCGCTCGCCGTAGAGTCTTGTTCCGAGCGAGACAACGAAATCGTCCAGGTTCGGCCCGGTGAGATCGAGACTGAAGGCGGCGCACCGAGAAAAGTGATCGTAAGTACTTTCCCAATTCGGGAATTTGACAATCGTAACAAGGCCGATTCTCTCTAGCGTCAAGGTCACTTTATCGCCAGATTCATCGAAGGATACATCGACCGGGAGCGAAGGGGGGCTCGTCTCCTCACCCAATTCCCAGGTCCAGACCTCATTGTAGCTGCATGGATCCAGCGGGTTCAGCCGCGGGTCGTCCAGCAGAGGGACGCTCGGCGTCATGAGCAAGGGGCTGTAGTCGCCCGCGAGGAGACACTCTCGCGCGACCCGGAGGTACTCCGTCCGAAAATCCGGCTGCAGGGCTGCCTCTGACCTCGCGGCGACAATACCGCGCAGGCCATGGAGAAAGTCCATTCGATCGCGGCACTTCCGCCTCGCCAGTAGGGCAAAAGCCATGGCGAAGCTGGTTGTCTTGTGCGACTTGACCTCGCGCAGCGGCCCAAGCGTCCAGGGCACCAGGTTTCGGTTCTCGGGGAGCCCGACCATGTTCTCGACATTGTGAACGCTGCCTTGCCTAACGACCTCCTCGTCCCATACGTGATGTAGCCTGTCCAGAAAGGCTGGATCGTCTGCTCCAGTGTCGAGATGGTAATCGGACGTCATCATCCTGATCCGGCTGCTACTCACGAATTCCATGGCCGTCCACATGCGTTGGAACCACTGTGCATTGCACACCCCCGTCATACCGTCCAGTGTTACGTCGGAGTCCTCATCCTGGCGAAGCTTTTCCACAGTGGACGAGCTCAGGTCGTTAAAGTGTATGATGGTGGCGTAACTGGAGCTGTAGAGCGTGTGGATGATACGAAGGATCGGATTCTTCAGTTCATCCGTCCACTGCGGAACGCTGAAGTAGTCGTGCCATATTTCCTGCCCGTTTCCATCCACCTCCATGCTCTCTTCGAGGCCAGAGCACACGAGGACGGGTGCTTCGATGGCCTGTCGCCTGACTTCTAGCGGCTGAGGTGAGTGGCGACCCTGCTGCTGATTGATGGAGACTTGCGGGTCCCAGACATGTGAGACTGTTAAGACATGGACCTCGCTTGTCCGGAGGCAATGGAGGTGCCTGTCAAAGAACAAGACATCTCGTTGCAAGTGCGTCGAAACGACCCGACTGCAGCGCAAAGACTCGCTTGACGCAGACGGGCCGTCGGGAGGCGCCAGCTTGAACGTTCTCACAAGAGCATCGTGCGTGAATGACTCCTGGCAGACTAGGCAGCGGAGCTTGTCAGGTTCAGGCTCGTACCAAAAGGTCTCGAGGTCTGCGACGCCCGTGGCGGCTAGCTCGTCGAGCTTGGACTGTTCGAGGACCATCTGGATGTCTGTACAGCGAAGCAGTCGCAATGTCTCTCACGGAAGATTCCCACTGCGGCTGCCGCGTAGTTTCGAGCTCAATATGCGGTTGTAATACATGTCAGCATTGAGTGAGCGGGGCCAAAATGCGAGGTTATTCAGATGGCGGCGGTAACTCCCAAAATGGACAGGAAATATGTACGTGCAGGGATAGGATTTACAGCTGATGGGTAGACACAATATCTCGTGCCAATGGTGGATCACCTTTCCGTCTAGTAGGAATAAGCTTGCCTGTATCCGAGCGAATGGCAACACGAGTTGGGATGAACACGTTCTCGCGCATAAGCAGGTTGCAAGATGTAGCTCTTGGGAGTGGCGCAACCTGTAGAGCATTCCAGGAGATCTCACAGACATTCTAGATACTCCATTTCTGGCTGGCTTCGGTACAAAGATCTAGTGGCCCCACGAGCTGCTCGGGTGACACCTCTTGACTACTGGCCGGCACAGCTCAGGTAGTTGTAGTCGGTCTTTACAACGTCTCGGGATCCCAGTTTTCTGCAGACGGAAGATATTGCACCGGTGTACACAAAAAAGAGAATTTCTATTTACTTGTCGTGTACTCTTTACACTCCCGTCTCGCAGATATGACCGATGTCGTGCAGCCCGATCTCGTCTCAGCGCGGCCGGCCAGAACAAGTGGCATGGGATCACCAACAGTTATCCTGAACTCGGCCACGTTTGTTAGCAAGAACAGATTTCTGCACGCCATATAGATGTCTACTTGATGAATTTTGCAAGGGCCGCGGACGACGCTCTGGCCTCTCGAGACTCAACTGCGTCACGAAACATCTCAAGGTCGCAGATGGACTGGGAACGAGCTTCAAAATCCCCGCAACAGCCAGCTCGACGGCCTTGTAGGTATAGTCCGCAGGTTGTATACGTTTCTAGATAAATAACCCTTATCCTGGTGTCAAGGAGTCTCGCGACGAGGGAAGGCCTGCAGCTGTTGATCTCATGAGGATATCTAACTAGGTAGAATAATCGATACTCTCTTCTAACTATGGGAAAGCGACCCTCTTTGTAAGTAGTCTCTCAAAAAGCTGGGTCCTCTCTTTGCTCTGTAACTCTGGTCAAACAATAGGTGCCCTGCAGCCGTCCCATATTTGTTCGAGGGTTCTGATACCTGGTGACAGGGCTCAAAATATAGCCTCCGAAGATGCGACAAAAATGTGACCTGCTCAGGGAAGTAGCACTCATCCGTGATAAGCGTTACTCTTTTGGCATTCTTACTAGTTATGCCAAAGAAGATCTGTACACGAAAGCATATTCCATGGCATTCAACATGACTACAACAAATTTCTACATGTATATGTGTGCTTCAACGATGCAGTTGACTATGTAATTTAGTTATAGAGTTATAGGATACACGGCTTTGTTACTGCCTAAGCTCGAAAGCTGTGATGGTCTTTGAATTGTCATGATCGTCTGCGCATGCTCAATGTTAAAAAACCACTTATCCTCATTTTCTCAACTCGAGCATTGAAGGCGGCGCGATTGACACTTGCAACAAACTTTGCTTTCGAGCAAGGTACTTCACTTCCTTGGGCCAGGTTCGGACTCCTCGCGGGACTACAGCCCCTAGGCCTTGAACATGCAAGGATAGTGCATCGTTTGAAACGTAGAATGGCATCCTGCTGCATCAAAAGGGCCACTGGTGAACGGCTTTCCCCTCACAGGCAACCCTCCATCTTGGCTCTTGAGGGCCCCGTAATTTCACCCCGCCGTCGCTCATCCAAGACTTTGTAGACCGTGAGCCGAGACTTCAAGCACCGCCGAAAAAGATCCTAGCAGTCAGATCTTCGCCTGTCACAAAGTATTTTGCAGGGCATATATCATAGGCCGCCCTGACCCCTGAAGCCCATGCCTCCCCGTTCCATGTCGCCCTTCACGCCAACGAGGTTTGACGCACAACGATGTTCGCTGTACAGACTACGGTCGCGCTGCTTGCCGGCCTAGTCGCTGTCGCACTCCTAGTGATACGCAAGAGCAAGCCGGCCGGCAAAGCGACACCCCTCAAGCTGCCTCTCATCGGCGACCTCCACAGCTCCCCGCGCGAAACGCCGCTCGTCCATTGGGATGCCTGGGCCGAAAGGAATGGAGCAATCGCGACACCAAAGTTATTCGGCATCGTGCCGATAGTGGTACTGAATACAGCCGAGGCGGCGACAGAGCTGCTCAGCCGCCGGAGTCAGTGGTACAGCAACCGACCCCCGTCGACGAGCATGGAAATGATCACGGGCGCGGGTCCCGGCCAGTCCCGATTCACGTTGATGCACGATTATGATTCTCATTTGAAGCTTCACCACAGACTGCTGGCACCGAGCCTCGGTGCCGTTGCGGCGCCGCGGTATCAGCCCGTGATGGAACTTGAGTCAAAGCAGCTGCTGTTTGATTTGGTAGTCGCTGTGGGTGGCAATACGGAAAGCGCCATCATCAACAGCTCGGATGTTTACCCCTTGCTCGAACGCACGCAGTCCAGTGTCATTCTTTCACTGCACTATGGCCTGCGGATTCCCGATGTTTCGGACCCTATACTTCACGAGATCATTGACATCCAGACACAAGTCACGCATCTCGCGGCGAACCCGGGGCTACCTGATTTTATAACTCTTTTAAGGAACCTGCCCGCCATGCTCTCGCCCTGGAAAACAGCTGCAGATAAACTCTTTGCTACGCAGGTCGACTTGTACGGGCGGTTGTATGAGCATGGCAAAGCATCACGGTGCTGGAACGCAACAAAGCAAGCTGTCGCGACCGCCGGGAGGGTCGTGCCAAGCGACATCCGTCCGGCCGACTTCGACCTCGACCTCGCCTTCACGCTGGCCACATCAGTCCAAGGCGGCATGGAAACCTCGCCGCGCCAGATCCTGTGGCTGTTCATCGCGGCCTTGCAGAACCCAGGCTTTGTGCGCCGCGCACATGCCGTTCTGGACGACGTCGTCGGTCATGACCGTCTGCCTCGGTTCGCCGACAGGTCAAGTCTTGCCTTCATCGACGCTGTCATTCACGAGCTGTTTCGATGGCGACCCGTCTCGCCGGGGAGCATCCCACGTCGTGCTGACAAGGCGGACGAGTTTGCAGGCGTCAAGATTGTCAGGAATGCGACGATCATCACCAACGCGTGGGGTATCGGACGTGACGGAAAAGCCTTTGACCCCGGTCTCGGCGACCTGCAGGAGTTCATCCCGGAGAGATGGCTTGATGGACAAGGCAAGGTCAACAGCAGTCTGCCGCTACCGGTGTTTGGCCAAGGCCGGAGGGCTTGCTTGGGCAGACGGGTGGCTGTCGACGGCACGTTCTTGCAGGTCGCAAATCTGCTGTGGGCGTTTGACGTCGAGGCCAGTGAGGAGGTCAATCCGTGGGCCATGTCAGTTGTCGGGTTCATGACGGTGCCGACGGAGTTTCGATTCAAGCTTAAGCCACGCGGACCGTGGGTGGTGGATGTGGTCACACGATCGTGGGAAGATGCGAGCAAGGACTTGGGCGAGGTGATGGGACTGTCGCATGATGTGGAGGGATAGCGGATGTCGTGGAAGCGTTCTCACGAGCGTGGGAGCGTATGCACTGCCACGATGCGTCTTGGCATCTCCTTCGTGTTGGATATCTCGAGATGGAGGGTCAGTCTGTCAGACTCGGCCGCGTGTGGAACGGAGAGCAAACTCCGCGATGCACGACGGCAGGCAGTAAGACGTGCAGACCAACCACTGGCAAGCTGGCTGCATTTGGAACTTCGTAGGGGAGATCGTTCAAGCTGTGGATCTGACTTCACGGCGCTCGTGATCACCTGTTTGTTCGAGAATGGAAATTCTGCATCGTCAAGCTGACTGCAGCATGCACTCGATCGAAGTTGTTGAAGAGGTATACTATAAGTTGCACGCATGTAAGTCAGACCACTCCCTTTGCGATGGACTTGCTAGTTTGCTAAGCAAGCAGTGGTTCGACCAGGTCCTTGCTCTGAAGGATTCGAATTTAATGCCATCTGCAAGCAGTGCTTTGCCGCAGCCACCTGATGGTTGTTCGTGGTCACGTTTTCATTCCAGATAGGGAATACCTGCTCGACGATATTGAGGTAGGCAGGATCGAATCCAACTAGGAACATATAAATCCAGCACCAGAATCCCCAATGCACCATTCGACCACCATGAAAACACACCCCAACAAAAGCTGGCCATCATGTTCCTCCTCCCCTTGACCCTCCTCGGGCTCCCTCTAGCCCTCTCCCAACAAATCGGCACGCTTGTCCCCGAAGTCCCCCCCGCTCTCACCTGGTCCAACTGCACCACCGAATCGTGCACGCCTGTCACCGACGCGCTGACGCTCGATGCCAACTGGCGCTGGACACACGAGACGACCTCGGCGCACACGTGCTTCCTCGACGGCGACTGGACAGATATCTGCTATAACCTCAACAGCGGCACAGCGTGTGCCGAACGCTGCGCCATCGAGGGCGCCGAGTACGCCTCGACGCACGGCATCACGACCGCGGGCGGCCGCGCGTCGCTACGGTACGTCACGCATTCTGCCTTTGGGCGCAACGTCGAGAACCGCGTCTTCCTGCTGGCGCCGGGTGGCCAGTATCGCATGTTCGAGCTGCTCGGGCGCGAGGTGCGCGTTGACGTCGAGGTCGGCACGCTAGGGTGCGGGCTCAAGGGGGCGCTGTACTTTGTCAAGATGGAGGCGGACGGCGGGCGCGGGCGCGGCAAGAACGCCGCCGGCGCGCGGTACGGCACGGGCTACTGCGACGCGGAGTGCAGCCAGAGCATCAAGTTTGTTGATGGCCGGGCCAACATGGAGGGATGGGCGCCGGGGTACACAGATCTTGAGCTCGGACGCGGCGCCGTTGGGGCCTGCTGTGCCGAGATAGGCGTTTGGCAGAGCAATTCGGCGTCGTACGTCGTCTCGGCGCATCCTTGCATTAACCCCAACTTTCACACGTGCCAGGACAGCCGGTGCCCACGCGGGTTCTCGGACGACATTTTCCCGCATGGCTGCGATACCGACGGCTGCGGCGCGAGCCCGTACCGGCTGGGCAACACGCACTTTTATGGGCAGGGCAAGACGCTCGACAGCGGGGCCAAATTTACGTGAGTTATCTTCGGGACTCAGTGAGAGGAAACAGAGAGAAGCTGACTGGGTAGCGTCATTACGCGGTTTCACGAGGACCATGTCTCGCAATCCTTCATCCAGGCCGGCGAGCCCATCGACACGCCGACCAGCCAGGCGTTCGGCGTGCAGGGCAATGCCATCTCAGACGACTTTTGCGACAGCCAGGCGTCGGCGTTTGGGGAGCGCAACCGCTACGCCGAGGTTGGCGGGTGGTCGTCGACGAAGCGGGCGCTCGCGGGCCAGTGGGTCATGGTCATGTCCATCACGCACGACGCCTACGCCAACATGCTCTGGCTCGACTCGCTGTACCCGGTCGACGCCGCCGGTCGGCCCGGTGCGCTGAGGGGGCCGTGTCCGGCGAACAGGGGGTATCCGGCGCAGACGGTGGCGGAAAACCCGCACGTAGGTGATTCGCTGAGTGGGTGTCGACGTGTACTGACAAGGGCAGGCCAAGGTGACGTTTTCGGATATTCGGTACGGGCCGATCGGGACGACGGGGTGATGGCAACGGTCATGTATTGGGGATCTGGCTGTAGGTACGTATTGGAGCATATTAGCGGTGGTGTAGCAGAGTTTGTCTGGCTCCATGCTAGTGCTTCGAATATGCCGTCGCTATCTTGGTCATCCCGGGGTTGACATGTCGCTTCTGGTGATCTCGGGGTATTCTTTGCTCTTGCAGCTTCGTTTGGGGTAGCCCTTAGTTGCGAACTCTCCTCGAATTCATACGATATCCCTGTTCACATCAGCGACATGAAGAAGAAACGGTAATCTTACCAGCCACCTATCAAAAGAATGATTTGTTTCGGATGATGATATGGTCCTGCAGCTTCGGAGTCCGAGGGGAAGTCCATCTTGGTACTCTGCCTTCCATCCAGGGTTGCAGACGGCAGACGGCAGACTACAGATTGCCAGAGGTCAGCGAGCTGGCTCCCCAGCAATCATCTGTCAAGCTCCACGTTCAGGCCATCCCTGGCAGTATCCGAATAACGAACAATCATGTCGCATAGATGAGGTCCTACAGATGTCTAGCTCATGATGCAGTCATGGCACCGGTGGTTGGGTCTGTCGGAAGGTGCCCCCCCTGGATGGGCGGGGTCCGGCAAGTGGATCCCCAGCCACCTGCCGCCTGTCTCCTAGCACCTGCCCCGCCCCCTGGCCCCTGCCACCTGCTGCCTCCATCGTCGCCACGAATCAAGCACTGGGCGCCTTCTGCCAGAGGAAAGGCAGGTACTGCCAGCGAAGCGTCAGGCACCTAGACACTTGGGCAGGCACCTCCGGCAGGTAGTCAGGTACTCCCTGCCTCAAAAGAAAGCACTCCAGCCTCATCGCCATCCATCGCTCCATCAATCCATCGGCACCCCAGCCACCCTCCAGCCATCTCCAGCAAACAGGTTCAAGAAGCCCATGTCTTCGCCTGCTCCTCGACCCTCGCTTCTTTCATTCTTATCTTGTTCTCTCCATTCCTGTCTGTTTCCATCCATCAGCCCATGCCGTCGCATTGAACAAGCAGCACACCACACCACATCGCCGCCACACAATGGCCACGCGTGCGCAAACACAGTACAACCCCCAGCCCGCCTTTGAACCAGAGTCCTTCGCCTCGTCCCCGCAGCGCCAGACCCGCGGTGGCAACGGCGCCAACCCACGTTATCGTCGCCCTCGCTCGCCCCTCCTCGACCACCAGGGCGAAGTCCATTTCTACAGCGGCAGCGACGAGCCGCCGTCGCCCTCGAGAGCGAGTCCCAAGCGCGGATCTGCGCCGCAACGCAGCAGCGGCCGCCCCTCGTCCATGGCCGCCGTTGACGCTATGCAAGCCCGTGCCAAACACGCCAGTCTCCCCTCGTCCTCTGGCCCCCAAGCCCAGGGACGGCCTCCCTCCTACCTTAGCGACGAAGCCATGGACGACCGCGGCGCCCCGATGCGCGGCCCCCCCGCCGATGCCCGTCGTCGCGCCGAGCGTCAAGCCCGTCGCACGTCTGCTTCTGGTGGTGCTGCCCCTACCCCCACGGGCTACGGTGCCCCTCCTCCTGGACCCGGCCAGCAGATCCCCAACGGGTCCCCGCGCGGGCCCTCCCACGGCGGCTCCCCCCGCACAAACGCCCCCGACGGCCGTCGCAGCCCACCTCTGCCGTCGCAGCAGCAGCAGCACCTTTCGGCCCCCGCCCTGCAGCAGGCTTCGGAAATCTCCCGCCTCAGCAGCCCCGGCATCAACCAGAGCGTCCTGCAACCCCTCGAGAAGAAGATGAAGGAGTACCGCGCCCTCATGGCCGACGCCGAAGCCGACATGGCGCAGCTCGACGACGAGCTGCGCATCCTCACCGAGCGCCGCCGCCAGGCCGAGGACCGCTTTGTTGACGCCCGCGGTCGCCACGACGACTATGAGCGCCAGCACGCCGACGTTGAGAGGGCGCTGCGCGGTGATTTCTCGGCGGCGGCGCCGGGGCAGCTCGCATCCCAGCAAACGCTGCAGAGGGGCGAGCCGCAGCAGGTGACCATCCAGCCTGGCCCGCAGGGCCGTCCACTGGGGCCGTCGCAGCAGCAGTCGTGGACCATGGCGAGGGCACCGAGCATGGACAGCTTCGATGACCGGCCCGGGACGGGGCAGAGCTTGGCGAGTCGGCAGCCGAAGAAGAGGGGAAACCGGTTTGGGATCAAGCTGTGGTAGGTGGGTACGAGCCAGTCTCGCGGCGTGATGGGCGCATATGCATGTGACGATTTATGGGATGGATAGATATATTGTTAATTTGATGAACCTTCTTTTGGCGTGGTCATGGGTTCAGCTCTGGGACCTGTGAAGGCTGCGTCGTACATCAAACAATGCTCAGGGAGTCTCGCAAGGCGTGAAGGGAATAGCTACTGACTTCCCAGGGTCGCTACATAGGCAGGATGATCCCCTCGAACTATGGTATGATATGTAAGAGCGATATTTGGAGCAGAGTGAAGAGGTCTCCTATACGTAGGTAGTCCGCAGGCAATGGAATAAAGGTAGGGGATTACGCACCTACTTTGTAATACAGGCCTATATGATAGAGTTAGCCCGCTGGGACTACGCCTTCCACGATCCGAAAGGGCAATCTCAAGGATTTAGGGCGTGCCCGTGTCAGCTAGGTAGACTGGCCGACACAGCCTGCCTGGAGAGGTGCTACATGCTGTTTCTTGCGGGGAACGTAGCTGAACGTCCTGTGTCCTGAGCGTAGATTACCAAAAGGATGCTGACAGCGCGTCGGCATTAGGCTCGAGTCCATCTGGAGAGACATCCCAATTCGACCTGAGGGTGGGGGATGGAATTGCGTGGCGTGGGTGAAAGAGGCCGTCGAGACAGCTCTGCAGGAGAAGAGGGCGTTGAGAGTTCCTGAAAACACCAGCTGGGACTCGATTCGAGATGTTGCGATGTGGTATGTCGCGCTGGAGAAGGCGGCCCATCGTTTTGACGGACTGGGAGACTACGACCAGAGCAAAGCTGCGACTTGGGATATGCTCGACGGGATTGAGCGAGTGCCTTGACTGTGCCGGATTGTTACCTAGGGCCTACCTTAGAAGACGGACGCAGGGAGAATTGAAATGAATTTGTCAGAAGTCACCAAACTACTTGCGTCTAATGGTTTCCATCCTCAACTCGTCCGGCATGGGCACTAGAAACCGATCGACTGGGTCTGCCCAGAATGGATTCTGAGGATTGACATACTTCGCACAGGTGTATTCCCAGTATACCGGGAACCATCCTGCCGTCTCCCAATCCACAATTCCTACAACGGTGTCCCCCCGGACCAGGATATTCAGGCTGCTTAGATCACCGTGAGTTAAGACGAGTTCGTTCCCTGATTGCCGATAGAACTCGAATAGCTCGGAAAGGTCGGCAGCGAGCGTGTAGTCAGCATCCAAATTCAGGCCGTCGACGAGCGCTTCATGGAACTCGCGTACAGTGCCGTACGGGCCCCAGTAGAGCCGGGATGGCAGACGACAGTCATAGAAAGGCCCACCATCGATGCTGCTGACGCCTTGCCCTTCGGGAGGAGGGACCGAGCGAAGCTCCGTGATCATACGGCGTAGCTGGTCCAGAATTCGCGTTTTCGATTCCTCTGTACGGCTTGGCCAGCCATACCCTGCCATCTGTCCTTTGATATGGCGCATGACGATGTATGAGTCCCCTTTATAGGTGAAGGCGTAATAAACCTTCGGCACGGGGATGGAGGTATGGCTGGCGACAAATCGCATGGCGTGGGCTTCGGTTAGGTTCTCGTCTGGTTTGGTCTTGATGCAGATATTGAAGATATGGAGAAGGCCAGGCTGCTTTCTCCAGAATCGTCGCAAGAGCTTGTGGTATCTCGCTTTAACAACAAGAAGGACGAGTGTTCGAATAGCACGTCCTGGCGTCGGAGGCGGAGAAGCCATTCGGATTCTGTCGAGGGCTCAGGCAGACGTACAGCTCGAAGCACAAAGGAAGGCAGTGGGGAATGACCTAAAGGTGGGGGAAAGCCGTTAGAATATCTGCGTAGGGCACGGAGCCGGGGATGGACTATTACCTGGCTTTGATGTCGCGAGGGTTCGTGAATGAGAACGACTTGGAATTGGGGGATACGGCAGACCCGCCACGCCCCACTCCCCCTGGGTCCAGCGGTCAGCTGTGGTGGGTATGTTGCTCTCTCACTCTCCTCATTAGCGTAACCTCAGCATCCGCTCGTGGCTGCCTGATGTAGTCTGGTCTTGCTTGGGTGGATGCATTTATCTACTTACATTGCGAAAGACAAACATATGTATGGGCTGCCCTTTTCGCTCCGATTCGTGTCAGATAGATAGCTGAGAACGAGGCATAGCGGCGGCGGTGTTGGATTCTAACTTGACATCACATGGTTGAGAGGCTGCCGTGCACCGCATCGAGGAACACCATGTTATGCTGTCCCAATGTAGGTAGGTTGAAGAGAAGATACTGTCCGACACTGAAGTGCGGCAAGCCCATCACTGTCAACATGGCTGTATTCGTCGTGTGGATCCACCAGTTTCGGGGAATGAACGACTGGAATCAGCGATGACGGTTATCATGGTGGAACAATTGGAAAGATCCTGGAGAAAGAGATAGCCCGCCCTCCAGACGGAGGCAAGGTTTGTACACAGGGAAAGTACGTTGCATTTGATCGTGACCCCGTACGACTCAGCTTAGTGCTGAATGAGCAGCATCAGCTTGCGACCAAACTCGGCTGGAGAAGGCCGTGCTGGGGAAATAGCGACGGCTCATGGTGTACTACACGTCTACTGAGCTCCCATTGTCCAAGGATGGATGTGACGGCGACAAGAGTGCCTCGATTACGAATACCACAATATTCGAACCAATGGCGCATGTCAGCAATCCAGCACTGGACCAGACCATTCATCCAGAGATGCCACCTGCCTCAGAGATTCGCCCACCAACCAGGTCGGGCCGGGACCACTCTGTGTGCTGGTGAAGAGATCAACTACTGCAAGATCCACGAAAACCATTCATGTTGGTGGATGGGAGAGGTCAGGTCAGAAGATCATACACATGCCAAGACATTTTGGGACAGCTCAAGCTTAGAGACCCCCTATAGTCTATATGTATACATTTCTCGTAACCCCTAGCCCCTGACTGACCCCCTGCTTGGCGGCTCCGCAGCGCCGCCTGATATGTTGGCTCTTCTTCAAATAGATAGCCCAAGCCGCTCTTCTAGTGCCAAGTGGCTCTGCGGAGCCATAGAAGATGTGAGCTGATTCGGATTAAGGACTGTGAGAACGTGTGGAGGACCACGCGTGGAAGACCTCTTCACTCTGCTCTACAGCAAGCACTGACGCATGTCTCCGTTTTTGAGGTCCTTCCAAATAGGCACCGGGATGTGCTGACTACCCAGGTAACCCTTGCTGAACATTATACTGCAGCTGTCCAGATGAGATATGGCCGAATGGATGTCAGACCCGGAACTCGGACGACTGTTTTCTGCGTCGACGTCCTACATCGAACCGTCCCGAATGTGCGCAGTGCTTTGTTTGCGCCGTTCCGCAGCTTCTAGGTTCTTTCTAAAGGGGTCTCGAAAACGCTGGCAGGAGGTCCTGAAACAGAGACACCGTCCTCGTACCGTCACCTCAAAGAAACGGCGGCAGTCAGGCTTCAGAGAAGCACCAAGAAGATGTGTTTCGCGTAATTGAAATTCCTTCCGACAATCGCCCATATGGATGCTGAAAAGGGGAGCCGCCTGTATATCTATTGACCTGTCTTCGCCCCTGGAAACCGTCATTCCCTTCCTAGGCCATACTGATTCCCGCACTTGATCACACCCATAAAGACGTACTTGCAGCTTTCACGAAACGCCGTTACTCAGCTTACGCCGACAGAATGATGCCGCCGGGGATAAAAAAGGAGTTCGAGTTGTCTGATATAGACGAGGAAGGCGGCCGCAAGCGAATCAAGCTTTTCGCATCAGCTGACGAGGTAGAAGACGAAGGGCACCAGCGTCAACAAGGCATTGAGGGGTTGCACCAACTCAGGGACTCCGAGCTTCTCAATTATCGTCGTGGAATGCTCAACTGCACTTGGCGGTAGCTCACATCCAGACCAGGAAGTTGTCGATCACATTCTCGCAACAATCTTCGATGAGAGATGGACATCTTGGAAACTAGTTGGGGAACCGCTGAACAGGGAAATTGATGAGACGTTGCTGTGTGACATGATCGAATCCGATCCTGAACGCGCATCCGAACACAAATACCTCTTAGAAGTTGGCGAAACAATATGTAAGTCACAGCCAATTCACTCCGCAATGGAACACAACTAATACATCGCGAAAAGCTTCGAAAACCGCATGCGCGTATGCACTGTACGTGTCAACTCACAACTGCTTCGCTGAAGAAAGAATCCCACATTTCCAAGTCGGAACTATGGTCGATGGACGTTGGGTGAAACGCTCCTTAGCCATATTCAAGGGGCGAGGCTACCATGTCCCGACCAGTTCCCTGCGTCGCGCCCGCGAGCGCTTCTTGCTAGACCGAGCACTTTATCTTAATATTTAGCAAGTCAAATACGAAGGCCGCGAGTACGTTCGAAAGCTCGCAGCTCGGGAATCGACACTACACAAATGGATTCCACGATTTGGCCGTTTCAGGGACTCGGCATTTATCAAAAGACATTTCATCCCCGATGGGACTCCCAATATGGTTGGCGAGGCGGGTAGCGTGTGTTCTGTGTACACGGTCCTTGACGTGGGACTAAATGTCCTGAAATCTCGCAGAGGGTTCTTCGAAGCTTTTCCCATGCGGAATACTTGACAATATTCATCGTATTCTACAGTCATGGCCATTCCTTATACTAGCAAATGATTTTTTCCCACTGACAATACTGAAGTTGTGGAAGCCGACCAAGAGCCTAACGGCACGGTCGTGATGGAGCGAGCGGCCTGAGATAGTTGCGCCTCTAGGGAAATTTCAGTGATTGCTTGTGCGAAAAGCACTTGCGACGGTCATCCAGCATATCATCTCAATATGAGGCTATATTGAGCGCGGCTTTAGGCTGAATATCCTCAGAAGGGTAGCTTTACGCATGAGACTTCTTGGTATCATGTGTCTTCTTCGTGGATCCTAAATTCAGTTAATAAATAATGCTACTGAAGCCAGTTCACCTAGCCTCTCTTCCAACTTGTAGTTATTGGAGCAGTCATGCTCGATAGTCATCAGCTGGAATAAGGCAGTTACACTTCCTTCCTTCCTTCATTAGTTACTCAGATGCCAAGTAACCGCCAAAGCGGCAGGTCCGATATTCACCTGATGCAACCTAGGTACCTTCATTAACTCTCATTTCACCACCATCTCGCGGCTACTCAAGCCGGCCTCCTCTGAACCTTCATTTCCGACAGCCCAACGCATGCACAGTCTATCAAGTCGGTAAGACACACCAACGCACTTCTTTTGCCACAATGTCAGCTCCCATATCCAGACACGTCTCTGGCATAGAGCAAGAACTGCTACACCGAAGCAAGCGAATCAAGCTTTTCCTGTCAGCCAATCAGGAACAAGAGGCATTACTTGCCAACCCGCGGCACATTGAGCACCTGAATCAGCTCACAAACTCCGAGCTCCTGACTTTACGAGGAATCGTGGTACAGTGCACAGGGCTGCTTGGCATGACTGGAATGCCTGCCCCTACCGTGGTAGACTTTCTGCTCGGGCTGACCTTTGACAACGGCTGGACCTCTGACAAACCTGTTGAAGAACGGCCCCTGTTCTTAGAGATCCGAGACATCACAACAATCGGCACTTTGACCAAAGAGACATTCGCGTATGTCCTTCAGCAAGGATACTTCCTTCCAATAGGCAAGACACACGGTGAGTCATGAATGACTTAGGGGTAGAAATTTTATGGTTGCGCAAAAGCCTAACGGCGAAAAGATGGGCGTGATGTGTACGGACACGCGTCCTTGGCGGGCGGTGACGCTCCAAACGGCACCCACGTGCAATTCAACTACGCGACCGTTGTAAATGGCAGCTACGTCAAGATTGCATTGAGTGATCTCGCGGCCCCTCGAGATGGAAGCGTGGCCATCAACGACTTGATCCGGTGCCACGACCAGTTCGTCATGGACCAGGTGCTATATTACAACATACAAGCCGCCAAATTTATAGCGCAGCACCTCATCAAACAGTTTGCGTCTGGAAAAATGTTAGGTCTCGAAATGACTGGACGGATCGCTCAGTTCGAGAGAGTGGAGTTCCCCAGGATCAAGAAACACCTCCTCGCCAACTTGTTTCCTCCAGCGATCGCCCGGGAACTTGGTAAACTGAAGAGTCGCCTTGACTACGACATTTGCGGCTCCAGTGGCCTCAAAGGATTCAAAACCAACTTTTTCTTGATAGCAAGGGGGTGGGAGAAGCTGTGAAACGAAATGCATCGACAGATGGATGATGCCTAGTGCGGAATCAGGCACAAACTAAGCGCGTCACCAAAGAACTCGCGGATCATGACGAGAAAGGTTATCTACATCGGCGATAGCCCTGGACGAGGTTTCCTGGCGCTTTTATCGGCGAGGGACTCCATGGATCTCAGGTAGCGCATTGCATTTCTGGCTTACTGAGCACGATTGTGAGCTGAGTGGGCGGCATCACGGTTGTCTTGAGTTGGGCTGGGTTGAACGGGGCACAGAGCAAGATGCATCAACGCAATCTAATTGCAATAGCTTTAGCCTACTGAATGAAGTCGGCTTACACTCGTAATAGTTTACAACACCGTCTTTCACGTTCGTCGTTGCTTTTCGTGAGTTGATATCCCCATTGGCCCCGCGGTGGTGCTGAGACAGAGGTAAGCCTACCATCAACAGCTGCGCCCCCATTCGGAGGATTTTGACGCTGCACAATAATGACTGCGCATGACTTCCTACAGGTTGAATTGAGATTGATACTGTCAAGCAATTCAAGACATCAAGTCTCATAATATCCCCACTAAACGACATTCAAGGGTTGGTGTCTTGGTGTGATACAGGGGGACTCAGCTCCTACAAGCCAAAATCGCGCCTCGTGCAGTCCGGCCCTCCCAGAAACACTGTCTCCCGTCATGACAGCTGATATTTGAAATTCTCACATCGCGCAAGACGTTTGGACCTTCACTTGGTCAACTACTTTTGGATCTCAAGACGAACCTGTCATGAGAATTACTCGATGTACCCCTGACATATGGCCTCTTATCAGAGCCCCCACGTTACTCGGCACGCGAACCGATTGAGTAATTGCTCCCCAACCTTGTGCCCATATCGGCCATCCACCAGTCCATCAGCACAACCTTGCCCGCGTTGCTTTCTTCTGCCTGCAGGGGTATTCCCCGACGCCATAACGGCCCGTTAGATGACATGCCCCCAGCGGCGAAGCCCCTGATTGTGCTAGTAGGTGATGCCGTTTATCTAGACTACGTCCTCTTTCGCGGTCCTCCGATCTGACAGATCGTATTCTCTCCTTCAGCCTCTTCTTCGTCTTCTTCTTCTTTCTCTCTTCAATTGCAGCCCGTCGCATCTCCTGTAGCCTGTCGTCGATCCGTCTCGTAGCCATCCCCCCCTCCACCCCGGCTCGTCGTTGAAAGAGCGCCCGCAGCCGAAACAAGCAGTCCACCCACACACCCGAAGGGCCGCCCCGAACGCCCGCACGATGCGCTCGCAACCGTACACGCCCCCACCGCCCCTCCCATCCGTCCTCGACGAGCTCGCCGCGCTCGCGCCGCTGCCGAACCAACGTCCTCGCCGCGCCTCCTTCGACGACGCCGCCTCCGCCACCGCCGCCGCCCCCGCAGACATCCCCCTCGAGGCCCTCGACCCCGAAACGAGCCAGTTGCTGCCGACGAGAAAACGAAGGCACAGGGTGCGCATACAGGGCAAGCTGGCGCTCGTCAAGAGCATATCTACGGCGAACCTATCGGGCAAGGCTGCGGCGCAGGCGTCTGGCAGGACGGGCGGGAGTCTCGAGGGGAAGCGCAGCGGGGAGGACGAGGAGCTGTCACAGACGAGTGACACGGAGGAGGAGGCTCGGGAGTTTGCCGTGCGGGATCAGCAGCTACGGGGATACGGCATTGGCGGGGCGGGCAATATCCGTGAGTATTACGTTCGGGGGCCGCCGCCGTGTCACGTTGTACTAATTGGGGATGTAGGGCGGCCGACGGAGGTGTATGGACTGTCGAGGCCATCAGAAGGGTCTTCAACGAGTGGTGCGGACCGGGGGCTGAGGAATCTGCGGCATCTGATCGGGCGCATGGGGGACCTTAAAAATAGGGGATCATCTTGAACGTGTTATGAATGGAGCGTGCTGAGAGGTCCAACTTGATGCGTGTTCTGCCACTTGTGCCTCGTCTCACGTCGTGCAAAATCATCTGAGCAGCCGGCTTTGCCCACAGCGAGAGCTCTATTGGGTGCTGGTCGCCAAGAGCGGGCAGCCTGCAGTGAGCCTCTTTATCGAGCGTTCCATGCTCGTCGAGCCAATTTCAACACACAACAACAGGCTTTACTCGCCCTCAACCAAGGACACAGTCAATTATGGTCATCACGACTGACAGTTTCGTACGATTGTCTTCGTATTAGAACACCTTGGTAATATTCTTCAATGACGGACGAGTCGTATGTGCTACGAAAATCAACCCAGCACAAACTCGATCTCGTCCCTATTCTGATATACCGGAGACTGATGCAAACAGTCAATGCTCCCCTAGCCATGTAGTCAAACTTGCTAGCATTTACAGAGCCCGAGTGTTGTTTCCAGGCGTCTCAGCTTGGTCAACCTGAGCAACAGTAGGCGTCTCACTGATCTCCTTCCGGTCGCTCCGTGATCCGTTGTCAACCGAAGCCGTCTCGTTGTCCTTGGCCCTGAGAGGCTCGGTCATGCCGAACAACTCGTTCATTGACTCAAGGCTGAGACCCTTGGTCTCGGGGATGAAGAACCAGCAGAAGACAACCATGACCACACACCAGCCGGCGAAGAAGATGTAGGTGCCGAAGCCGCCGACTCCCAGGTTGACGAGCATGGGCGGCACGGCCCTCGAGACCACAAAGTTGAACAGCCACTGCGTGGCGGCGGCGTAGGAGACGTTGGTGGCACGGAGACGGGTGGTCGCAATCTCAGAAACGTAGATCCAGCAAACGGGGCCCCATCCGAACTGGAAGAGAGAGGCAAACAGGAAAATGCAGACGAGGGCAACGTAGCCGGCGGCAGACACGTCCTCTTCAGAATTGGGGTCAGGCTGTGTGACGCGGATGAAGATGGCGATGTAAAGCATCATTCCAGACATGGCGATACCGGTCCAGATGAGAGAGCGGCGGCGGCCAAGAGAGTCGGCGACGAAGATGAGGAAGACAATGACGGCAATGAGCTTCACGAGACCGTAGATACCTGTATTGCAGTTGATTAGCAAGAAGAAAAAGGCGTAAAACTGCTGAGCTCAACACATACCTGTGGCAAAGAGCTCGTTCGACTCGCCCCTGACACCGAGACTGTTGAAGATCATGGGCGCGTAGTAGTTGATGGCGTTCGTGCCTGATAGGTCTCAGTCAGCCTGAACACTAGAAAAGGTTGTACTCGAACATACCGGTCATTTGCTGGAAGAACATGAGAAGGATACTGATGATGGCGCGGCGTCTGTTGGCGGGAATCGTCCACATCTCGCGCTGCAGAGACCACCAGGTTGTGCCGTCAAGAAGAAGGTTCTCTTCCTCGATCGAAGCCTTGATGGCGGCGAACTCATTGGCGACGTAGGGGTGAGTGGGGGGTAGGGCGCGGATCGTGGACAGAACCGACATGGCCTCTTCCCAACGATCCTGTTTGGCGAGATGGCGAGGGCTTTCGTTGCAAAGCCACATGCTGATCATCAAAAGCAGAGGAGGGATCGCTTGGAAGACCAGTGGGATGAGGAAACGAGCCTGACCAGAAATGTGCTGGATGCAGCCATAGTTGATCCAGTAAGCCAAAAAGATACCGAAAACGATGAAGAGCTGGTAGATGCCGGTAAGACCACCACGAATCGCACGAGGAGCGTTCTCGGCAACGTAGAGAGGGTTGACCATGGACGCAAAGCCAGTGCCGAAGCCAGAAACGAACCTGCAATTGTTAGTATAGTTACTCGCCTAGGACCGCCACCACAATATAGAGTCCTGTCTTCTTACCTGCCAATGTACATGGGTGCGAGATGACCGGAAGCCGCAGCCTGCAGAATCACACCAATGAGAGAGATACCACCGGCACCCCAGATGAGGACGGGTCGGCGGCCGAAGCGGTCAGCAGCGTGAGCCGCGAGAAGGGCGCCAAGGAAACATCCGGCCTGGAGCGTGCTGACAATGTTGGCACTCAAGTTGGCGCGCTGGTTATCAGTGGCGTACTCGGGGCTCAGTCGGTACAGGCTGCAGGGTGCATGTGTAAGCTTGTGGCCATTGACTCAACAGCTCGGGAGTCAACCTACTCCTGGAACTCGGGCATTCTCAAAACACCACCAATGGCACCGGTGTCGACTCCAAAAATCAAGCCGCCGAAACAAGCCTGCAGTGGGGTCAGTCTAGAGAGCGAGGATACGTCTGTAGCTAGCCGGTGTTCAGACAAAGCACACCCGGCGGCAGCACACAACCGACAGCTCTGTGTCATCTGCGCTCCCGCTCCGTCTGCTCGTCTACCACACCGCAGCAGGGAATGATTTCCGAACACATACCGAGCAAGCAAGAGCAAAAGCCCTCCATCCGTAAATCTCGGGGGGGTCCTCTTTCATGGCGTCATTCCTGACGATCTTCTGCATGAGACCCATGATGGCGGCTCGAGGTGTTCGTGCAACCGCGATGAAAGTCGACCAGGTGTTTCAAAGCTCAGATAATGTAGCGTAATGAGTTGGTCAGGCTATTCGGATACTGCGGGTACAGGATCTGACGAGGCATGGTATCGAAAACATGACACACAATTCGGTCGGCAGCCGCCCTTTATACCCGCCGATAATGCTACGTCGTCTGACAGTATGTGGACGACAGTTGGGGATAAAAGCAATGCCGATCCCACCACTTGAGCCAGCAAATGGGTTGTCCACGCGAAATTCAGTCCATGGGTAATGCGGCGCAAGCGTGAGAAATGGAGTCGTTGGGTGCATGGTCAAGCATTGGCATGCATTGGCAAACGAGCTTGGCTGTTGAGCACCACGGTGCTAGGTGGGCTCCAGGCATTTTTAGGTCGCGAGCCAAGATCAAACAAGAACTATCAATGGTGGAGAGCCCCCATGGGGTACTCACGCCCAGCATTACTGTTTCTCCAGCCAAGAGCCCAAGATGGTTGAATTATCCTCCACTAATCAGACCACGCCGTCGTCGTCGTCGGTCTTGGGATATTCGCACCTCCGCGATTGAGCCGCTCGGGCCCGCGCCCCGGGGGGTTTGCCCATAATCTTTTCCCCCGCCAACTAGCGTCGGGTCTCCGCCTCCGGGCATGAGCAGAACCGCCCGAGGTACAGAGGTAGGTACACCGCATTTCCGAGGAACTCGGTGTTCAATCTCGCTTTTCCGGCACGCTCTCGATGTATCTTGTCACAGAGTCGTACGCTTGACAGTAGCAAAACCCTCAAAGCTCCAGCCAAGATTGGCAGATCTGAGGTCACATCGAAGGCATTCATTGAGGCGAAAAGTCTACAACTGCCCCCCCTGTGGGACCTGGAATGGCTGAATGATGAGACAAAAGCCGTGATTGGAGGACCGATGTCTCCAGGTTGTCGTAAGCCTTGCCTTGTCCCGTGAAGCATGCACGTATCAACACCATTCCAAGCCTCTCAGATGCCCTTGTCAACAGAGGGGTTAGTACTATTGCTGCTATGTTACGGATTCTGCCATTGCTTTCTTTCACGAGAGCACGTCGACAGGACTTAGGGTCGGGGACAATGAGGTGGCGTCGGCGTTAGAAGCCAGCGCGGCGGCACAAGCATGGAGATGGCGAAATTCATCTCCGCCTGCGGCCAAGAAGATGGTCCCAGAAAACATGTCGGATAATAGGTGCTCACGTGGCACCGCCGGCGTGGACACCGCCAAGCTTCGCCTGCTTGATTGTCTCGCTGCGTGCTTTCAACTACATCCCACTGAGTCTTTGCATGTTGATATGTGATAGGCTTCCAGTGATGAGCTCCGATTGGAATCGATCAATCCTTCAGAAGAAATACGTCGCAAAGGCATTTTCGGTGTAATTGTCATTTGTAGGAAATGAATAGGCTCACAGTTGTTGCTTCATTGGAATAAAACGGTAGTTGGGTAGACAAGTCCATCATCACAGGAAAACCCTGGATTTCCCATACTGAAATCCAAACCCTCCTTTCTAATCGACGTGAAAGGATGCCCGCAAGAGATAATACCAGGAGGAATAGATTGCAAGCTACGAGGGCACCTTGATCACTTGATCGCGAGCCTGAAACCGATATTGCTGTAGGGCCCCTCCATGTTTGTCCATCCCTGGAAAAGTGTGAAAAAAATTTGAGGTCGGGACCATATACTGTGTGTTTGGTGAAAGTGGTGTGTTCTTAGTAAAGTTCAAAATGCAGCAACGAAACGCAAGGAAGGGTCTGGGACATGGAATCGTTTCCCTTGTCAAGTATGTGTTCATCACGACACGGCCAGGAACCGACTTGGGCGACATCGCGCAAACCTCCCTTTGTCCGATCTACCGCGAGTGTATCGGTCTCGGCAGATATTCCAACTTGGGAGCCGTGGATCTACATTTCCGTACCTAACACCAATTTCATGAGTGATACTAAACAAATCTCGTCTCGCGCGGGTTTCCACGCCGGCCTCCGAGATCGTGACCAATGTCAGCCTCATCTCGGTTTGCCCTACTATGCGTGGATTGCTTAGGTAGACGGACGCAGGCCAGGACCAGTCGGCAGATAGCAGACCTCAACTGAAGATAGTAGACCAAACAATGATTCAGAAACCAAAGACGACTGCGATCCTTTGGATTTGGCGGTTTCAAAGCGCCACAGGTGGAGGGAGGTCGTGGTGAAGCAGCAAAAAGTCCCTTCCTCCACCAGCATTACCCTCATCGTTCGGATGAAATAGACAACATTCTCTATGTGTCAAGCCGTATTAAATCAACCATGCGATATTGTTCAAATCGGCGTTCTGACGCACCTGCAGCCTGGAAGCCTAGTAGGCAAAACGACAAACGACAAAAAGAAGATGCTTGCGAGATGCGTCAGGAATTGAGCCCAACGGGGGGCTCGAACCCCCAACCTTGAGATTAAGAGTCTCACGCTCTACCGATTGAGCTAGCCGGGCAGGCAGGTTGCTTGTTGACGAAATTGGAGATTGAGAGCGTAATTATGTAGCATGGACCAAGGGCCCTGAAAGAGTTTTTTGGTCAGTCGGGTGGGCCTCCGCCTGCGGTCTTTTCATGCGCCCGCGAGTCGCGCCATCGCCGGATGGACTCGAGCCACTGTGCTATCTAGCGGCGGCGTTTGGCTGATGACTCTAATGGCAATGTCCGATGCGACCCACGGTCAAGCTGCCTTCTGAAAGCCTCAGCGCGGTTGAAACACCTCGCAGCGACTGTTGGAAAGATGCAACGGGACCAGCTGAACAAGGAAGGGCTCATTTGCATCCAGCCCTTCACGCTCGTGAAGCCCATCACGTGATAGCTGATTTCAAAGCTGTTGCACTCTAGCAGCGCTCCAGGCGTCGCCATCAATGCGTCCGCGGGAATTTGGTCGCTGGTCATCGCAGCAGCAGCCCTGGTGAATTGAACTGCCAAATCTGGAGTGTAGCGTACTCACAGCGTTTCCCAGTATCATAGCCTGGATCAAGTGCTCGCATCGCATCTCATGAAAGGCTACCTCAAACGGGCCTGGTAGGTTTTGATCAGGGTTGTGGACAGACAGCCTACTCCTGAAAACCTACATCAATCCAGCCTCTTCCCAAGTCGTCGCAGAGGGCTAGGGAAATCTGCCGACAACCTGAGGTTCCTCAGTTGTCGCGGTACTTGATGATTCGCATCTGCTGCGCATCTTGACTCTCAGTCGGGACCACCAGCCCCAAACGGTATCCAGGCTGCCAGGATAGATGCACCACTGCCAAGTGCCGCCACCAGCTTTTGACACGAGACCAAGGCAGCTTCTGGTGCGTTCATCATTCGCAAATGCCATTTCGTGTTCAATCACCTCAGCAATTATCTTCAGTCGATTCAGGGTACCTCCTTAACCCACCTTTCCTTGCTTTCCAGCGCCTCGTGCTCATAGCCCAGAATCGGCTCGTTGTTGAGCGGGCGCCATTGAGAATCGGTCGCGTTCACGAAAGGTCAGACTGGTCAGGATACAGTATCAAGAATCAACGCCGACGACAGCGCTTGAGCGGTCCACCACCACGTTTCACAAGCCTATTGTGCGTCATGGTTGAGCCTCACTGAGCCTCAATTGATCCTTCTGTCGGTACCATCCGTTATCGCGAAATTGACACGCAGGCGATGCGGTCCTCCATGGCTGTTCAGTTTGATTGGCAGCGGCCTGGAACGTGCTCGCGGCCGCCCTAGACGAGAATCACACCACGCTCGCAGACGCCCGGGAAAAGCGTGATCTGGCGTATTGCCTACGGTCCTCGCCGTAAAACAGCCCTAAAAAAAGATGCTGAGCGAGCCTAAGAAGCGGGAGGGAGACCCGGAGTCTCCAGAACCGGGCCCCCCTAGCACGGCCTAATCAACATTAGCCAGCCCGGAAACGGGGGCCGTCACGCCCACTGGTTAGGCCGCTCCAGGCTTCTGGGCGCTGCTTTTGGGCTAATGACCCCCTGAAAGTGCCGTGACTTTTTCGTCCTCGGACGTGCTTCGAAGCCTCTGCATCTAACAGAGAGGCATGGGCATAGCCCCTAGAAGGCGCCAGCAACACGGGCTGGGCCGACGATTCATTAGCCTGAAGCATCTCTGTGCTGACACAGGGTGGTATGATTCTACGGACGACGATGAACGGGTTCAGTCTGGAAATCCCCGCAGACGAACAGAATAAAAGCATGAAGGTGCAGGGTAATATGGGCCCTCTATGTGTACGGTCTCTTCAACATTCAACCACTTCAGTACATTTGTACACTAATCGAACGACACAGCGTCAATCAAATCCCTACAATCACTTCCACAATCAATTGACCTGAGACACTATCATGGCGAGCATAACATCGCCACCAACCCCACCACTACCAGCGCACCATCACTTTGCGCCAGACATGGATGATTCCATGGAACACCTTCCTCTCAATGCGACGGCGTCTTGGAAATTCCCCAGGACCGACAGTGCCCACACCCTGATACCTCTTTCGACGATCCCCACAGCGGTCGATCACAATGGCCATGGCCATGACCACGATCACGATCACGATGCCACAGAGACCGACTTGACCAACGCTGCGGCTCGATGGCTGAAGCGCTCGGAACCCACCTATAGACCCATCTCGGAGCGACGTCTCAGGTTCGAGAGTCGACGTCCGACATGGCTTCGGGAATGCATCGCTGAAGCGATTGGTGTCTTCATCTTTGTTCTCTGCGGCATCTCCTCTATCACCAGCTTCACCCTCCACCAATCCGACGACCTCGGCGTCACTGCCTTCGGATCCATCTTCCAGATCGGATGGGCGTTTGCTGTCGGTGTCGCCATTGCCGTCATCACCTGCGGTCCCACCTCGGGCGGCCACTTTAACCCGGCCATCACCCTCGCCATGGCTTTTTGGCAGGATTTCCCCTGGCGCAAGGTTCCCTACTACATCTTCTCGCAGATCCTCGGTGGCTTTACCGCCGCCCTCCTTGTCGTCTGCATGTATTACACCAAATTTCAGCACATCACCGACGAACTGATAGCCGCCGGCAAGCCCCTCGTCGGCGGTGGTTCGCCAGCATCTTGTCTCGCGCCCATGCCCCACGATGATCAGACCCTTGGCTATGTCTTTGCCGCAGAGTTCTTCTCGGACGCCTTCATTGGCCTTGCCATCTGGGCCGCCCTCGACCCCGCAAACCCCTTCATCCAGCCGGCCGGCCTGCCCTTCGTCATCGGAATTGCCTACGCCAGCATGATCTGGGGCTTCGGCAGCCTGACCCTCAGCACGAACCTCGCGAGGGATCTCGGTCCACGCATGGTCGCAGCCATCTTCTGGGGACGCGAGGCCTTCACAGACCACGCGTACGCACCCATTGGCATGCTCGTCAATGTGCCCGCCACGCTGCTTGCCACAGCCGTGTACGAGCTATGCATGCGCGACAGCTTTGCCATTATTGCGAAGGGACATGCACGCCACCGTGACGGTGACGAGGGGCTGTATCGCCATATGAGTCGGTGCGGCATGTTAGATGAGGAGAGGGGGTATTTGCAGCACGTCACTACCCATAGGGATTAAAAATGATCAGAAGAAGTGTAGAGTCTAGATACGATGAGACGGAGCAATGATTTATAATGAACCAAAAGGTTGGATTTGGAGTAAATTTAATACTTAATCCCTTTACATTACAATTATATTGCCGTGACGTGATCTCAGTCTCGAAAAGGTTGAGCCAAGCTGAGGTGAGGCACTCAAGGTTGGCTGTGGGAGGTGAATATAACAGATCGCAAGGTGTTATGCGAAGTAGAGCGAAAGTTTTTTGACTGTTTACTACTTATATTTGCAAATTACGATGGAGGTATCACGCCTCATTGTGTCCCACAGAGGCCCTCGAGTTGTTATCATTGAGACTCCAAGTCGATTTGCGACACTGGCACCCCAGCGCATGGAGTCCCGATAAGCTTTGACTTCAAGCAAGAAGAGAGAAGCCAGCAACTCCTTGCTTTCCGTAGCAAATACGCCATGATGTGCAGCCGACACAAGTGTCACTGAAGAGAACAGCTTTTACACCGTCGACACACCTTGTGCCATGATAAGTGCCTGCAAGGCTGTAAAGAAGCGCATTGCCACCAGCCGATGAGGCAAGCTGCTCGCATAACCTTCTGTCTGTGTGTGATTCGAGCCCGCTACCGGAAATGTAACCATGCGCACAAATCGGATGAAATGTTGTGATTTCCAACCTGGCTTGCCTTACTGAGGCGGCTACGGGCCCTAAAGAAGTCCGACAAATTATTTTACTCTCAGTGTCATCGCTCCGAGCGCTGCTCATCTCATCCGGGGCTTCATCGCTACTCGGCAAGCTTTGATTCCGATTGTTTAGTCTCCGAGGACTTGTCTCTTCTTTCTTCGTCTTCAGCGCTTTCAGCGCTTTCAGCGCTTTCAGCGCTTTCAGCAGGTGGAAACCCGCCACGCGTATAAACGGCACTCGTATAGTAATCCATCACTCGACGAGAGCCGTCATGACCCACTGGTAAGGTGATGTCCCCCTCTTGGCATGGCCAATATTGCTCCATTGGGGAGAATTTGGACTGCGCCCTCTGGAACTCATGCCCCTGAGATCTTCCCCATAAATGTATCATCCGATCACAAAGCGAACCATCCACCAACAATCGCTTTGTGATTTTCACAGGATAAGGATGTTGCTTGCGTTTCCCCGTATGCCAACTTACCACGTGGGAGGCGCCAAGACCCTGTCAGCGGCTGGCCTACCTGTATGTCCTCACCAGTGCTTCATGTTGAGCCTGCACAGCCACCCCCGAGCTACGCTCACAGTGGGTGCCAGAGCCTTGGCGTAGTGCAACTGTCAGTGCTTCCATGCTCATCTCCGGTGATTTTCCAAGAATCAGATGCAATAGGTTTCCGAACCATTCGATCTACCCGCTGTTGTCTGTAGATCGAAACCCAATCAAGCGTGGCCCGCAGCCCCACGAAGATGCTCAGGGATTTACCTCGTGAGGGGCCAAGCCCTCCCCGTTCGTGAGCGGAGCTTCTCTGGGATATCCTCCGTCTCTGATCAGCATTGGGCGCTACAGACTGGGCAAGTCATGGAACTGATCATTGCTTCTGCTTACTCAAATCGAAACTTCATGCGGCGATTATCCACAAATCTCCATCTCGTAGATTGCAGGGCATACAGGGTTTTCTGATTGCGGTGCAGCGTTATACTCGGCCAGCGTCGTTCTGGGGCTCGGTCAACGAGATGTAACAACGCGGCGATAGAGTCCAAAGACAACATAAGAGCAGCTGAGAACCCTCCCAGTAAACGTTTTTTATTTCCTTCGCTCATCATCAGCATCGACCAGGAGTCTTTCACTCAACTTACCCATTTCATTGTGATTTTCTGTCATATTTACCATTCTCCAAACATATTGCCGTCGAGCGGTTTAGAAGACTTTTACCAACTTTTCAAAATCTCGACAAGAATCAACATTCAAGATGTACCCCTCTAAGATTATTTCTCTGCTCGCTGCCGTTCCGGCTACCATGGCCTGCCTTGGCTACGAAGGTGGAATCCCGAAGGCTACCGACACCAAGTCACTTGATGCCCCCCAGTACATCAAGGCCGGTGAGGTCTTCGATGCCGAGTGGGTCCGCTATGACCGTGGTCAGCCCTGCGATGGTCAGAGCGAAGGTGGTGAGTATTCTCGGGCAGCCGAATGGTGGAGGCACTCACTTACAACATAAAGGCGAGAAGGACACGGTCTTCGTCCTTGAGGACGGCGCCACCCTGAAGAACGTCATCATTGGTGCCGACCAGAAGGAAGGTGTCTACTGCAAGGGCTCCTGCAACCTCGAATTTGTCTGGTTCGAGAACGTTTGCGAAGGTTGGTCTCCCACCTGAACTCAGTGCTTCCACGACGTGATGCTGATCAAATTAGACGCTATCTCGATCAAGGGTGATGGTCTAGCTACAATCGTCGGAGGCGGAGCCTACGGAGCTGCTGATAAGATCATCCAGCACAACGGCTGCGGAACAGTGCACGTTACCAACTTCTACGCCGAGGACTATGGCAAAGTGTACCGTTCTTGCGGCAACTGCAAGGGCAACTGTGCCCGCACCGTTCACATGGAGGGTGTCACGGCCGTCAACGGCGGCGAGCTTATGGGCATCAACCCCAACCTCGGCGACAAGGCTACCTACTCGAACAACTGCTTCCCCAAGACCGAGTGCCAGGCCTACGAGGGTTGCGACAAGGCGAACGGCGACTGCGAGCCTAGTAAGGCCGGCAAGTGCTGAACAATTTTGGTCCTTCCTCTCATATCAGAGCTTTGAGCGTCAAGGATGTCTCCAAGTCAGATTCAGTTGTCCATATTTTTGAGCCCTTTTGTACATTTAGATCCCACACATTGTATACAGTGTAACACATCCTTTGGCTTGCTGAAGGCGTAAGCAATTTGACATTAGCTTGATGAAGTGAGAGGGAATTACGAGATGCCCTTTACTCTGATTGCAGGTGACTGATCTGTGTACCTCAAGTATCGGCTCTTCGACATTGATGCTGATCATTCAACTATTGGAAAAGGGGTATGTTGTGCCAGTGGCTGTAAGCAACGCCACGATGAATGTGCCTGTGTGAGCCGCTTGACTTAGGGAGCCCCTGGATTACCTGTAACGGCGAAGTTGCTGACTGCAAAGGGATACGGGGGAAGGGGAAAGCGGCATCAAAAAGGCTGACAAGTCGATCACCGCATTGAAATTCATCGCGAGTATGAAATTACAACGAGAGGTGGAAGACCAAGTACGACCATGCTGTCAGACTGCATATTTTAGTGCAATTGGATATCTGAAGGGACGCTAGTGCGCTATAGTCGAGATATTTAAGTGTACCAGGTAGGCTCCGGGATCTCCCCAAGTAGGACGTAGCGTCCGAGCTCACGGTTCTTGTACGCCACGGGATCATGCAATGAGTGTGTCCTGATATCCCTCCAGAACCGATCGAGTGCGACCTTCCTCTGGGTAGACTTGGAGCCAGTGACTTCAAAGACCCCGGATGTTACCCTCAGGCCGATATCAGTGGCTGCCACCTTTACGCTGGCCACCCATTCCGCAGCCTCACCACGAGCTTCGGCGGTGAGCTTGGATCGCGTAGTTATGTCACCAGAATGCTGATAAACAGAGTTGATCTCTAGACCAGCCTGGTCGGCAAGAGCAGTGGCGGCACGTAGATGAGCGAAGAGGTTGCCGTATGTCGAGAGGATGTAGAATTCGTCCTGCGCCTTTTCCTTATTCTTGATGATGTTAGTGTCTGAAGGCTATGAAGGGTTGGAGTTCTTGAGACACCATTGAACGGCGCGGGAGAGACTTACATCGCCACCGAACGGCCAGGCTCGAGTCGACTTATTTGTGTAGGCCTTAGCCTCGTGCAGGGCACCCCAGGCAATGCCAAGGTAGAAGTTGCTGAAGACGAGCTGAATTCTGTATGAAATAGGTCAGCTTCATGAACAATCTGGACACGAACTAAACGGCAAGGCTTACGTCGGAAGCAACAGTGTTGCGAATGGTATGGTGAGCGGTTCGGCTGGGACTTTCTTCTCGACGTCCCAACCAAGGGCATCAGCCCATGGAGCGCTGACCTTCTCGATCTTGACGCTTCCAGATTCCGTCAAGCGTAGACCAACGTTATCCCAGTCGTGGGAAAACTGGATTCCAGGTTGCTGCGTCTTGACAAGCGCAAAGATGTGGTTGGTAGTGTCCTCGTACACGCCCTCGAGCACCGTCAAGTCAGAGACGACACCGCCCGTATTGAAGAACTTGAAACCGTCAAATACGATGTTATCGCCATCAGACGTGATCTTCAAATCACTGTCCCGAGGGTTTACAGCTCCACCAACGAAGTAGTTATTGGAGATGATCAGGTCTTGCACACGGTCGGCCTGCTCAGGTGTGCCGACAACATTGGCGGTGGTTGACCAGAGTAGATGGTAGCCGAGAAGCATACCCAGAGAGCTGAGTGAGTTAGATCACGATTCCATAGTTTGTATTCCAAGACAAGATGTGCACTCACCCATCACCCTTGGCAACCTCGCGTATCACCTTGTAGCCAATACTCCACGGCTGACCACCACCGCCATACTTCTCCAGACCGAGCACTTTCAAGAGGCCAGCATGCTTCAGTAGTGCCACTTCAGCATGAGGAGCTTTGTTCTCTCGCTCACGGTCGCCAGCATCCTTCGCAAGGACAGCTGCGACGTCCTTGGCTCTCTGAACCCATTCGGTCTCCGATGTAGGTTGCTTAGCCCAGGTGATCTTGTACTCATCATAGACCGCTGGGTCAGTAGACCGAGCACCATTGGTGGCCATCTTGAACGTCAGAGTTGTATGTGAGTGCGGACTAGACTGCTGATGGGTAAAAAGTACTTGTATGTAGTCGTTGTGCGCTCCAGTGCTCGATGGTCCAAAGGTGATTACATGAGTTCGTCACTAGCTACTTATACAGGACCAGAAGCTCGGCTTGAAGCTGTCGTAGCTGCCGTGATACTTGCGCGTGATCGTCAGGCACGTATTGCGCAACCAGAGTGGCGTGACGCGTCCCTATCTTTCTGACACATGAACCGACCTAATCGGAGCACTGATGCCATTCGCGCTACGATGGAGTCAGAATGTATATCACAAACCAAAGTACTAGCTACAAGCTCTTTATTGAAGTTTGACTCTGTCACCCATGGTCCTTGAGCCAGTCGGTCATGCATGCGGGGTGAGGAGGGGTGGATGAGAGGCTAATCTGGGACGGGCCCCGTATTGTACCTGGCTGCAGGAGTGCAGCATGTCAACCTGTAGGCGCTCAGTAGATTCTTCGACCCTTGATCAAAGATGCGTGGGGGGTAGGCGAGTGTATGCCGATTGCCGGCCAAACAGAAGGAGTCGAGAGTTTGGAATTGGTTGGTGGCCTCGGTATTCAACCAGGGGTCTGGAAAGGTGCTGACAAGGATGGTGATGGCGACATTACCACAATCGCATGATGTGATCGTGGGCCAAAGCTGCAATAGCACCGCCAGTCTTCGGCTCAAGACTCCTTCACAAAACAGGCATTTGATGGTCAACGCAACAATTTTTACTGTCAAGGCCATACGCTGGGTCATGATGCACATGAAAAATTGTAGTCGTGGCTTGGATCGAAACGAGCCATGACTTGGTCGTCACGAAGCATACCGACTCCAAGCCAGGTCAAACTATCTCTGATAATCTAACGTTTCACACCAATGTATGCAAGCAGTTTGCCTATTTAAGCAGTGATGAATGCGTGGTCTAGGGTCACAGCACCGCTGATGCTTAGTTTCTCTTGCGTGTCTTGGGAAAGTAGCCTGATGTGTCTCCCAGGGGGAGCTCGTACAAATCATCTTTAATCAGCAGGTGGAGAGTCAAGTACCTGAATCATGTGGTTAGCATGTTCTATTTAAATCAGAGATAAATAGTATCTTACCAGCCAACAAGCCCGGCAAGAAAGCAAAACACTCCGGATGCTTTCTTCAAGGCAATCGACGCCGAATGACTGCCATCCGCAGCAGCGAAGTAGCTTGCAGCGACGAGTATGAAACCCAGGTCTACCAGGGCGAAAATGGCTATGAAGACTAAGTTGGAGGGCAGTGAAGCGATAAGGAATGTCAATACGAAGACGGCCCAAACTAGATCAAAGGTGAAGTCAGCCACTCTTCTGCATTACTGGTATTGATCTGAATCGAGATTATTTGCATTAGACTTACGGATCATGAAGAAACCGAGCGCGTTGTTGAACTGCGCAACGTCATCTCCGTATGCATCAGCAATCCCAAAAGACGGAGTCAATATCGCCGCGTATCCCGCATAGAACAGAGCTTCAGGCTCACACGTCAGTATCGGACATACATATGCATAAGGGGCAAGCATTGATGCGTACCAAAAGCGCTGTAGACGGTGTAAGAGAACCCGTTACCAACGGAGAGTTCCCACTGAGCTGAGATAAGTAGTCCCAGAGCTGCGATGAAGAAGAAGTTGCCGACGTAAACATTGGTGATGGTTACTCCACGCCATTCCATCAAGCTGAGAGAAAGTGTTGTCAATGTCGTCGCAAAGGCTCCAATAGGAAGAGCTGTCTGTTGAAGAGTGATTAGCTATCATGACAGGATGCATATTGCTCAAATTGTTCAACAAGGAAAGTGGAGGGTCCTACAGCTGCTGGAGGCAAAGACTTCGGAATCAGAGGCCCCAGTGTATGTGGTTGGATCGACTGCGCAAAACCATGATCGACCTGACCCTGTTTGTCTTTGATATGACTCGTACTATGCTCAGACATGACGACTTCGTCTCCGACGTAAATGGGGCTGTTTTCTTTGACTTTGACTCTTTCTATACCAGTTCCGGTTGAGAGGTCAGAGAGAAGACCTGGGGCGTAATTGGGGAGGGAATAATGCCAGTTTTAGATGCCAGCCTTGGAGCAAAGTTTGGCATGGCAGATTACCTGGCCCAAGTCCCTGGAAAATGCTCCATCCACAGACATTCATTTGAAACGAACGCGAGTGTCCTTCGGCATTGTTAGCCCGACACACCACTTCAGCCTGAGTTGGAGAGGTCAAATGCAAAGCGGAGAGGCACTCCTAGACACAAAGTTTACTAGTGTATTTGAGCGACGATCCGAAATCTCCGGAACCCCTAAACATCTGCGTCCAAGTTAGTCTCGCATCACAGTGCCCCAGGATTGCGCCACATTGAACGACTCGTATGGTTCGTTGTAGGTCGAGTTCAAATTGGATAATGTATCTTTGACTGTCGTTTCGGTACCGCACCTGATCGACCCTAGACCGTTGCGGGTTTCTTCGGCAGGTCAAGATATCTTCAGGGTAAGCTCGCGGGGGTGAGCTCTAGAACACGTGGATAGCGGCATATATCACCTGGAGAAGACAACTCACTGCCTTAGGTTGCCAGGACTACTAGTATTCGATTTCTGTTATCTACATGATCTAATATTCTGCGATCATGTGGCAGGAAGCCATCACGATTGCAGCCCCTCACAGCGTCGGTGCGCCTACATCGCCGTCGAACTGTGAGATGGTTGGAATGACAGTGGTAATGTTTTGCTGGGCAATTTTGGTTACATTTGAAATGTAAGATTTGGAGATGAGCTTGTCCTTGTAACTATTATCCTTGAATTTTGTGAGCTTGACCACACCATTTTACTGTCGATCTTCCAAGCTAGCTCGAGATCACATCACATACCCATGTCTTGACGTGACTCGGCAGTCGACTCAGTCACTAGAGATGGTTCTGCCTTGATATTCTTCACACCGGGCCCCCACGTAAAGCATGCTCTTATGTGGACGTAAAATGACGCCATTACTCTTAAAATGGTATGTCGTTCGGAGGAAGGCAGAACGCCGCGCCGAACGTTAGAAACAGTTCACCACTGAGCCACTTTGATGCCGGCCGCAATGCGGGGTAAAGTACCATGAACATAACCTTGGGCTTCGGGCAACACGGGCCAATCGTCCGATATTGGACTCCGCATGTTCCCTTTGCCTGGGCAAGTCAAGCGACGCGGCATCAAGTCATAGCACGTGCGTTCTGTTCATACGCTGCATAGCGCAGGATCATAGACAACGTCGCATTCGAAAAACAGGTGGCCTATACCGGGCTGCTTCGACACGATTGTAAAGTGAGCAACGGAAGATCCACAGACGTCAGACGCGCATCTTCAGAGCCCTGATCCTTGGTGCGTTTGAGCAGTAATAGGAGCAATGACTTTATTCAACTTGAATCTGACGTCCGTTGTCAAACAATCAATTCGATTAGCCATCTGGCAAAGTGCATCAGTCTGTCTGCGTCAGAGCTTTCATTGCTGTTCTTGATCGTCACGCAAGGAGAGTGGACTGAGATTGGAATGCTGTATTGCTTGCTAGGCACAGTGATCTGCTGCAATAAGAACTATTTCGAGACAGGTTTCAAATACCAAGTTATGTCGATTTTATCAATACGCTGGCTTCACACGTCTTAAAGGCCACTTTCATTGTAATAGCAATACAAGGGACTGGTTGACACTTTGCCTACCCTTTAGTTACCGTACAGAGCCACAAATCGTGGCGAGTCTGGGACATTGCTGATCTGTTTGTCTTATAAAGATATACTTCGCGAAAGAGCCCATCTGTTTGCAGTTGAAAACACAAATGCAAATGCCTGAAACTGCCGCCGTCTGTCGGCACGCTGGCGTATTTGGCAAAGAAATTGTAAACAAACATTGCTCCCACAGAACCTGATAAGAACGGGATCGTTATCTGTCACACTAACATCTCTGTGGCTGTTTACGATTCTGTCCGTGGTACATACGTGTTTGCATGTAGATTCAATGCACCTGAAACATCCATGTCTTCGGCCATCCTTGAGGTTTGCTTATTGCTTGTTTTTAAGCATTCTAACTCTTCGTCCGAATCAAATCACGTGAATCCTTAAGCACCAGAGACCTTTGAAGATTATTTCATATGATTGACGAGATGCCCCAGATTGAGGTCAGTCCCAGCGTCAGTTGTTTAGTCATTAATCTAGTACGGGCCAGGTATATGCAACCGAGCATCAAACTTTGAACAGGCGGTCAGGCTGCAGTCGTGATGCTGAACCAGTGGGAACACGAATTTTGAACCGTAGCGCAAGATCCGAGTGAGCTCTCCGCTCTTTTCGCCACAAGGCCCTGGAAGTTTTACTCTATTTCCATGCGCCAACAATCTGCTCTCGTTTCTTCTTCATTCATCCAATCGACAATCAAAATGAATTAGCAGTCATCTCGCATACGTGATTCATGCGCTTTTCCGTCATCGTTTCTTGAAAAGATTCCATACCTTGGATTACGAGAGCTTCAGCGTGCCAGAACTGGGGTATAGACATTTCGTTAGTCACACTTGCAATTGCGGAACAAGCCATGTCCTGGATATACGCCCGTGAACCCAGCCCTCTGTCTTCTCATTAAGCTGAGTCTTTGGCTTAGCGTTCAGCCTGAGTTCAAAATCCCATTTCGGCGACTAGTAGAGGCGAGAGCTCCAACTGTCAGTATCCTTTGTGTTAACGCTCATAGAATCTACATCATTCTTGATAGGGGTGATTTAAATTCAATCCTTTTAGATAACTTCGATATAAAGGCAATAAAATATGACATGTAGGAGTCGCCACGTCGAAAGTCTCAATTAACATTTTCTCTTTTTAAAAAATCAGCTCTTAGACTCTCTTCCTTGTAGGCCTTGCAAACACCTCCTTCGGCTTGGTCTATTGAAAGCGACGAGTGCCCTGACGCAATATTTCTTGAACAAGCGGCAAGCTTTCGTGCAGCGTCCTGCCTACAACCTTGCGCTGTCTAACACACCCAAAATGGATATATGCACAGACGCCCTTTTCAAGTAGCATGCTCCAATATTACTCCTGGCTGGTGAGATATACAGTAAACCTATGCTTCGGCATCTTGAGACGACGATATCAGCATGGGCGTCACTACTGTGGCCAAGTGGGGCTGAGCTGCCAGGCCCTCAGGCCTACCGAGGCACAGCCACAGTGCGTTCAGTAGCTGAGTCGTACCGAGATCAATTGGGCTTAATATGACGTACCTATGTTTGCATTGCGTTGCGCATCCGGCCCGGTAGACTAGGGGACCATATCGAATACAGAGCTTCATGGCGGCCATCACATACTCTTTAGGTGCAATCAATGTGTATGTCTCTTGTGAACCTGGCGAAGCCTTCTTGAGCGAAGAGACCGCCGAAGCACTTCCGCAAACCAAGCACTCGACACCTATCGGACATTCATCACGAGACTTCCTTGGCGGTGCCTCGAGGAGTGATGCATCTGGACTAAGCGTTCTCCACACGAAGCCTCAGTGGAGTGTTGAGTTTACACAACTAGTACACGGCGGCGCCGTTTTTGCGATAGGCGGTGGTCGGCGCCGCCGCTAACACCCCATCGATGCTATCGACTGCAAGTGGTGTGACTGCCAGCGTGACATTAGCTTCGGGCTTCCCGTGACGAGGTCCGAACATTTAGCTCGAGCTGAGAACGGAATCAAGACTGAAATTGCATATAAGAAGGCCTCAGCTTCCATCGTCGAGATCATCCTGGTGGCAGACGACAACACACCCAGCAGAACATTTCACCATTATCAATACCACTCAAAACGTCTCATATTCAAGTCAACCGGACCAAACCCGGACTTGCACCACATCAAACCCCGCAATAAAAGAACAGCTTGGTTCCAAACTTACACCACAATGTGCTTCGGAAGCTCCAGACACCACGGCCCAGTCATGGTCGCACCGAGACCTGTTGTACTTGGCCCGCGACCAATCATGGTCGGCCGGCCGGTCAGGGTCGTTCACCATGTTCATCACGGAGGAGGCGGAGGCGGCATGTACGGCCCAGGCCCGCGGAGGGGTGGGATGGGAAGAATGGGTGGGCGCCGCTGTTGACGACTCTACGACGACTCTACGGAAGATCAGCGCGCCTGTGCAGTGTTTGCGGAGAAGCCTAGGATAACGATTTTATGACAAGTCTCACAGGAATGGAATGATACACTGCAATTACAGCTACATGAAATCTTCCACTTTTGCGGTTGCATAAACAGCATTTGGACGACAAAGGCTTTCGACACTCTAGAAAGCTCTGGGCAGGAGGCGAGACGCCCAGTGCTACTGATGTTGCTGACACGCCAAACACCGAGTCAACAGCGACTGGCTTGCATTAGAACGAACGCCCACACTGAGGGACTGACTCGGCATCAAGGGGTCGCTCGAGGCAGTCCGCCCTTGATTGCACATAGACAGAGGATTTCGATTTACGCGTCATCAATTCTTTCAAGGCCAAGGGCGTGATGCTGGTGTGGGTGCACCATAGTCGTCGCTGTGCTTCGATGAACTCCTCTGCTGTTGTTATCTTGATTCCTGTCCAACGTCAGAAGGCATCTATGAAGTATTCAGAAAGATTCGACCAGGGGATGGTCTAGAGGGTTCGAGACACCAAATGTGTCCCCCTCTGATTGCGGAAGGTCAGTTTCAGATATGTTCTTATCCTAGAGCCTCGTGATTGACTGCTGATTTGACACTTTGAAGGCATCTTGAATTTTCTGATCAAGTCGATTCATTGCTATCGTTACCGATCAATCTACGCATATTAATCAATCTTAAACAAGATCACTGAGAATCATTTGAAAGTTTCGTATCGTTCGGACTTCATAAGTCCAGAATCCTGGAGTGAAACACCGGGGGCGCATGAGCTCGGACTTCGCTGACAGTCTTAATTACAACAATGAGGAGTTTCACCACAGCACTGTTAAGAATATTCGAAGCTTCGTATGGCTTCAACGAGGGGAGTTCACCGTGACTAGGATGCCCCATTTTATTATAGGGTCCATTCTAACACATATTGAAACTCTGCTGAAAATATCGTAGTTATGCGACGGGTTCTCAGAATGAAGAGGGTGTTATATCCTTTCCTGGATGCCTAACATGAAGCCCATGTTTTGAAGCCTTCAATATATACGAAAGACAAGCAATAGCTTCATCAAGTTCTTCTTTATCAAAAGAACGGATACAGGGGAACCTTGTGTCCACCAGTGACGAGCCTTTGGAAGACCAGAGTCGGATCGTACTTGCGCTGAATAGTCTGCAAGCGCTCTACGTTTTTATCGCCATACGACGCAATTACCTGCTGGCTGCCATCTGCGTATGTTAGCATGCTATCGAGACGGCAAAAGTTAGCATTTTGTCAGCAGGTAGAGTACAGGGCCAAGCCGGTGCCGCTTCCGTACATGTAAGGGAACAGGACGTTCTGTAATTTGGCTTCCGCTTGGAGCGTGCGAATAAACACGCCCCAAGCCGGAAAGACCTTTCCGACGTCACTCTCAAGATCAAACTGTAGGCCGATATAGAAGACTGCGTCGGGAGTGGCTTTGTGTTAGCCAAACGTTCCCATACCAGCGGCATTCGGCTGGCAACAATACCGCCACTCACCAGATAGACTCTTCCCTGGTTTGGCCCTGTCCAGACCCAAGGGATTGGTCTTGCCAGCCTTGTTAATAGCTCGCGGCGGAATTGGCATGACAGTGTGGAGTCCGGCCAAACCCTGAATATGAGCGAAGCTGGAGCAGAATTCAGAGAACTTTGCCAGTATGTACGCCAGATAGGCCTCGGAGGGGTAAACGGTAAAGGTGTAGTGGACTTGTCTGCGGGTCAAATATTGTTAGTGGACCAGGATGCGTGTAGTGGATTTCTTTCGAAAACGCTCAACATACACAAGCCCATCTGGAAATCCGGCGACCAGCTCCGATGATAAGTCATAATACGACCTGTTTTTGATGGTCGAATTGGAATGGGGGATGTCAAGCCAGGGCTGCAGCGACGGTGGTAGGGCACTGGCGGGCTTGGTGTAGACAATGGGCGAAAAGCCAAAGGTGGTATTGGAGGCACCATCGTAGACATAGGTTGGCAGGACATGTACATCTCTGTTGGTAACAGAGGTGTCGACCTGATACTGGTACGTAAGCTTCTGTAAAGATGCCAGCTGGTCTTCAGGATATGTGACCCTGCCGCCGTATATGCCAGCTGTCGGGATTGTCTCAAGAGTAATGTGGGTGACAACGCCAAAGTTATTGGAGCCACCCTTGAGTGCCCAAAAGAGGTCTGCATACGCCTGCTTACTTGTCTCGACGACGGTCCCGTTCGCGAGCACCACACGATGACCGACCACGTTGTCGACAGCCAGACCCTTATCGTTGATGAAGTAAGAGAAGCCAGCACCCAGAGCTAGGCCAGTCCCGACGGTAGCAAAGCGGCCGCCAACCACCATATAGCCCAGAGGCTCAATGATGGCGTAGAGCTGGGACCAGGTGTTTCCCATGCCTGTAGTGACAGTTGTGTTGTCGGCGGAGAAGGCTACGTCTCGGATGTTGCGCATGCTGACAAGGATGCCGTTGTCGATGTTGGCGGCCCCTCGATTTGCGCTGTGTCCGCCGCCGCGGATGGCGAAGGGGCAGTCATGATCGTTGAAAAGAGAGACAGCTGTCGACACCTCGGTGGTGCTACTAGGGAGGAAGACACAGGATGGGCTGAGCCAAGCGGTAGCAGCTGAGGAGCCCAAGTCACAGCAGTTAGCACAGCAAGAGATGATTGTGAGGATTATGCCGTTCAGTTCTTACACCAGAACGCTGTTTTTTCAAGGTAGTAGGCAGAGGAGGTTGAGTCATCCCGCGCAAAGGTCGCATTGGGGAACTGAGTTGCCAGGGCAGAGCACTAATAATACGTCATGTATCAGCCGGATTGATTCTGAAGAAATACAGAAGGCACGGTGAAAGTATCATCACCACTTACACACGTAGCAACGGGTGAGCCTTGGTAGGGAATGTCCTGCTGCGCCTCCACGATGACTGGAAGAACGACAGCAGCCACAGCGATAAGGAAACGAATCATCTTAGATGCCATTCAAAAGTTTCTGCTCAACGGCGGAGGAGGGCTGGGCTCCGCTTAGGAAGCGTGAACAAATAGAGAAGAGTTGTGATGTACAACGAGTGATCGTGGGTGAGTCCAACGTGCTCAATCGAGCCGACACAGGGTCCCCTTTCTAATGGCAGCTTTAAACCAGCCATGAGATTGGCAGGGAAACTCTTTTGCAAAATTGGTTTACCATGCGGCTGGTGGTGAGCCTCTGGGACCTGAACATCATTTCCCAGGGGATCTTGGGAGCCTCCACTCTGTACTCCGGTCCTGGAACACCTATGCAGGGGTTCGGGGCAACCGACGACAGCTTTTGGGACCTAGTTGCCATGTATATCATCATGACAGACATTGATGCTCTCGGGCTTTCGAATCATCGCATCATTGTCCGTATCTACACAACCTCAAAATGCGCTACCTTGCCTTCGCCCTTAGCCTTTCCGCGCAGTGGCTGCTGCTCGGCGTTCAACCCACCGTAGCCAGGGCTGTCGTCAGTGGCACGCCAGTTGAAATTGGTTCGTGTTCTCTGTGCTCTCTCAATTGATCCAGAATCACCTTGTCCCTCTCTCCTAACACCACCAGATCGCGTGGCCCACTCGGCCAACACTACGGACAGCCTCCCCTTGTGCCGCGACTTTACTATCCCCATTTCAGTCAACAAGACGGTTGAGGCTGAGCTCTCCCTCGACGACTACAATATCGAGTCGCTCTATGCCTGGGCTGGACGCGAGGTCCTCGTCGATGGCGATTATGAGATGTCAGCCCGTATATGCGATCCGCCACCAGGTGTCGAGCGCAAAGATACGCTTCAGCTCTTGATGCATGGCGCCACCTTCAACAAACACATGTGGGACTTCCCTTACAAGCCCGAGACACACAGCTGGGTCAGATTCATGGCGAATGCTGGGTATACGACCCTGGCCATTGACTACATCGGTATTTACCCCCCCCCCCCCGGTCTTTTCCGCCTGTCCGTTTCGCATCACAAATGGGCCGACTTTTCTTGACTGTCTTACTGACGACACTCCTAGGCTGCGGCAATAGCTCCCATCCTGACGGCCTCTTCGACGTGCAGACTGAGCTTTTCGTCCAGACGACCCATCAGATTGTCCAGTCTATCCGCACCGAGAACCTTCTTGGTCAGTCTTTTAGCAAAATATCCCTTGTCGGCTTCTCCATTGGCGCTATCGTCGCCAATGCTGTCGCCGACAAGTTCCCCGAAGATGCGGACTCGCTCGTCCTCCTAGGCATCACCTGGGATCGCGAGTGGTTGTATCCCGCCTTCCTGGCTGGGTTGCAGACAACGGCGAGCGTTGTGGACCCCGCACGTTGGGGCGACAGGGACCCCTTCTACCAAACCCAGCCCACGCTCCAGGCGCGCCAAGTAGCCTGTTTCTTCGGGGACTTTGAGGAAGAAGCGGCTTTGGCGGATTTCGAAACAAGGGACCTGGACACCCTCGGCATGGCCATCACGTTCTCCTTTCATCTTGTGGAGGCTCCGAAGTACGAGGGCCCTGTGTTCCTGGGTATCGGAGACCACGACTCGACGTTTTGCCCGCGAAAGTGCGGCAGCCAGCCATACGGGGTCTACGACCAATTTCCCCTGGCTTCGGAGCACGTTGTCAAGGTGTACAAAGACACGGGCCACGCCTTATTGTACCACCGCACCGCACCGTTGGTCATGCAGGATACCTTGAGCTTCCTCGCGTCCATCTGAGCTTCTATCTCCTCGGGGGTTGAAGCATGCCACCAGAGGCACAAACTCTGAATAGATGCTTCTCAGATTGGCACTATCAAAATGGACTCCATGCGACAGCTCTCCGCTAAGAAGAGACTTGGCACAGGAGCTGTCCATGATTGGATCCCAAAGCCCCTTTTTATCTGGTCAGGAGCGGCTCCTGATGCAGAAATTGGGATGATAAAGTAATTATACTTCATGTACATATCTATACAGGTCTATCCATACGACTATTTTTCCGATTGCGTGATCTGAAATGACAATACAAGTGCGTTGATGGATGCCGCCACTTTGGTCCACGCTGAAGTCGATGCTCTTCCAGACCAACCCCATTTCCAAGCCGAGATTGCACATTCTCAGGCTACAAAAACAGCTTTCGCAAGTAAAACATCTAGCTCAAATATGCTGTCGGAGCGTCGTCGTAGGCAGAAAAAGGGGAAACTCGGGCACAGCGCTGCAATCTCAACTCGTAGGTGTCGATTGAAACAACAGCTGAAATCTCGCCTGACGTTGAACAGGGAACGCCCTGTGCGCAGCATTAAATGACTTGTTGGTAAAGCCCCAGGTGCCCTGACGCGTGTCTCGTTAGGGGGACTGACGTGGACGCGCATCGAGGCCTTTCTGGCTTTTCTCCATCCTACCCATTTTCAAGAAGCATCACAATATTTCCTTTAACACTGAGCATCTTTTTTTTTCTCGCTATACGAACGCAGCCATCATCACCACATCCAAAGAGCTATACAACACTACAAGGACACGGATGTGGTCGACTAGATCAGGAAACCTTCAAAGAGTCCAGATACACCTTCCATCTTGTCGGGGAAAGAAGTTGAAGCAACCCACAGGTCCGGCCGGATAACCGCGACGCCGCCAGTCAGATGGTTTGCTCCCCACACGGTATGGGCATCCTCATCAGGCGCCTTGTCATCGAAGACAACCGTCGCGCCCTCCGGCAGCGCGTCTCTGACAGCAGCCAGTCCAGGGTCCACGTTGGCGCCGCTCCACTGGAATGGTAGCATCTTCAGGATGACGACAACATTGAAGCGGGACGACCCACCGAGACGGGCATAGAAGCCCTTCGGGTCATTCAAACATCGAAGGAACGCATCAACGCGCCGCCGCACTTCGGTGCCCGCCAGCGAAGAGGCAAAAAGGACCAGGTGGAAGCGAGGAGGCCCGGCCAGTTTGTCGTATAGGTATCCTGACTCAGTGGGAGATAAGCAGACGCGGGGGTTGGGCGCCCGAACGCCGCTCCTCACGCGAATCGCAGGGGGGTGGCCGCCTTTGGGGACGGAATCTAGACCCGCAGACGAAACGGCAGCAGACTCGGCGTACGGGCAGTCCACGCCGAGGAGGAACTGCGCATGAGCCTTGAAAAACTGTCCGAGGAACTCGAGGTCTTCGGCCTGGGAGGTGCCCGGACCGTGATGATCATCCTCCATGCCCTGTGCCACGACAGCCTGTGTGTCGGGCGTTGCGCCGCCGGCTACCTCGAGCTTGGAAGGGATACCGTCGCCCGAGCCATTGCTTCCTTGCTCTGATCTTGCATTTGCATCGGCATTGTTTCTATGGTCCGCGTCAAGGCCATCGACATCCCGTAAATTCGGTAGCGGCACCGTCGACCCGCATACGAAACGCAGGTACGAGCCAGAGACCTCAATGATGCGCACAGCGTGGCCGCGGCGCTCACTGCTGTAGGTGGGAAGCAGAACATCGTGCTTAGCCTGGCCCTTGGCGGCGAGTCCAAGCTTCCAGGCGAGGTTGGCAGAGTCGAGAATTGAGGCGTTGAGGCCAAAGGCGCCCATGACACTATGAACGTGGCTATTGCAAGAAACAAGGCCGCCAGTCAGCATGAGTCAGCTCCCGAAAGCATTGCATTGTGCACCAACTGTGCGTTCCGGATTGGGCTTACGCTGCGTCGCCTACGAGGTGAACTCTCATATCAGGCGATGAGAATGAGCGAGCCACTCTCTCGGAGACTGTACAGATGAGAAGAAGTGTCAGTTCAGTTCGGGTAACATGAATCATCACACCCGCGAAAGAATTCCAGTTTTCAGTCTGTTTTCAAGGGACATACTCTTCCAGACGGCAAACCAGCTCAGCGGTGCCGCGAACTTGAGCTTGTAAGGGTTGAAGATGCGGTTGGCCTGCTCGAGGACTTCTTCGGGCGTAATCGAGTGCACCTCGACCCGACCCCCAGACTCGATAAAGGTTGGGTCACGGGCTTGTCTCGAGGCGGCAATTGGCCCAGCCAAGGAGATGTCCAGTTGTGTGTATAGCCTGAGATCTTGTGTGAGTTGATGGCGCAAGAGGAGTGAACCGATAACAAACGGCATACCTGATGTAGCCATCCTCCCGGGGAATAATGACACAGCCGCCGTGTTTGGAGCTGATGACAGATCTAAAGGTGCGTGGATGCTTAGCTACCGATCGTGTCGAGAAGGCCCTTCTTTGCTCCCCTTATTGATGGAGAATGAAAGACAGATTCACAGCTTACCCAAAGACCCAGGCATGCGGATAGTCCGACTCGAACACGCAGTCCATTATGCCCCAGTAGATATCGGTGCTGACGCCGTCAAAGGGAATACCAAGCGACTTGCGGATCGGGCTGGCAGCGCCGTCACTTCCAACGAGAAACTTGGCCCTGACAGACGTTTCCCTACCGGTGTGGGCATTCTTCAACGTAGCCTGCACCGGATGCGTGTGAGGTGAGCCATCGGCGCCATGCTCCTCCACCCGATAATCGACAGCGGTGCAGCTCCGCTCCACAATGACCTTGTGCCTGGCCAAGTCCCTCAGATAAATGCGCTCGAGCTGGCCCTGCGTGATGATATGCAGGCCACGATATCTTGAGTCTGACTGGTGTGAGCGATTGAACAAGAGCTTACGGCCGTCCTTGTAGATGGCAGTGCGCTCAATCAGAGGGCCCTCCTCATGAACCTCTGTCGAGAGCCCCCACTGAGACATGGTTTCGAGAAACCTGGGCTGCACACCATCGGCGCGGCCGGCAACGAGCGGCGTGTCAGCCTTGTCTGAAAGCGTAACCGTTTCATTAGCACTCAAGTTGATGATGCTAATAGATGACATGAAGAGGACTTTTGCCATCACCATGCTAACATACCGATGATGCGAAACGAGACCCCTTGTCTCGCTAGGCTGACGGCAACTTGGAGGCCGCTGGGGCCGGCTGCACATGTCGTCCGTTAGCACTGAGACTTTTACGGTCCATCAAAAGACGGGGAGAGCTTACCTCCACAGATGAGGACGTCAACTTCCTCCTTTGGCGCCCACCACGACGGCGCCCCGTGAGGGCTGTTGGTGCCATCGTAAAGGCTGGGCCAGTGACGAACAACGTTGATGCCGAGCTGGTTATGCGTAAGTGAAGTGGTAAGGTCCACAGACGGAGGCGTGACGTAGGCGCCCGTGCGATCCGCGGCTGGATCCCCATTATCGTCGACAGGGCTCTTAGGCCAAGACCAGGGAGTTTCCGAGGCCGATGATAAATCCAACTCACGGAAGCCGTTCTCCCAGGTGTACGCGGGCGATTTAGTCGCCATTGTAATAGAGATTGTGGAAAGATGGAGTGAGAGCTACGTGGGTTCTAGCTTGCTTGTTGGTTTCGTTTTGGTGGTAAGCCAGCTTGATTAACTCTTCCAAAGGTAGGACCGTACATATCACAATGCTGAGTCCCGATTGTATTTTCATAGGCACCTCGGACCCCTTCGGAACATGAACGCGGACAACACGATCATCCCCCTCGGGGCGTTTCTACAAGTCTGGGTCCCACAAAGACAGACACTGAGGGCCGACATACTCCGGTCCCGCGGAGCCATGTAGACTTGTTTCGGTCTCGCGATCGTGTTGTTGGCTTCTCTATCAGGTGTCCATCTGTCACGCGCGCGGGGAATTCGGTTGCTGGTCTCAACGGGACATAAAATCGAGCTGTCGAGACTAGAATAGATCGCCATTGCTTGCCTCAAACGATTGCATATTCGACCCGTTCCTTGTCATTCTAGAACTGAGTAAGATACCTGGTTTCAAACTGATTTCGATCTCTCCTACGGCTTGACCGGATAGATATCGCTGCCACCTTAGCACATCCACCACTCGCTGCTTCGCCCCACGACGTAACGACAGCAACCATGACTCGAACCGCCGACGAAGTCTCCGACCACCTGCTGCAGCTGGGGGAGCTAATCCAGACCAATATCACCCAGTTGGTTGAGTCTCGTCGCGCTGTGACAGCTACAGGCAACGGGACTGAGCCTTCTGATCTCCCCCCGTGGAGCGTTTTCAACGCCCAGCGCGCCCTGCAAGCCGCTACCGGCAGCCTTACCGAGCTGATTAGCCAGCCGGAGAACCGCCTGCTCGAAGTTTCTTCTCAGTACTTTGAAGCTCGGGCCCTGCACATAGCCGCAGATGCACGCATCCCGGATCTACTCGCCAAGACTGCCCCTAGAGGTGTTCCCATTGATCTCCTCTCCGCCAAAGCCGGCATCGAGTCTCGGAAGCTCTGTAAGTTGCGCGTCTCAACCCACTTGGTAAACGCTGGGCCCTTCTGAGGGGGAAGGCGATTCATGTGTTGCAGTGTTCCCCCACTTGCCGTCCATCCCCCATCTTCCCTTGTCCCACTAACCTCGTACAATGGTGGCTAACATGGCCCCCGTTGTTTGTTTCCGGCGACAGCGCGATTACTGCGCTGCCTGTGCTCCATTCATATCTTTACCGAAGTGGAACCTGACGTCTTCGCCAATAATGCCGTTTCTGCAGGGCTCGTCGACAACGAGCCCCTGCGCGCCTATATCCTCCTGTTGTAAGTTGCAGGGACCGGCGGCTCCCGCACGCACGGACAAAGCTTATATTGTATCATGACACGTAACTGAGCTCGTTCTCTAGTGGCCTTGATCTGTACACGGCTTCCGACCATCTTCCACGAGCTCTTCATGACTCTGTCAAAGGTTCATCCTATGCCGTTGACCAGACGGCATGGCAGGATGCCTTGGGTGTTTCCAAGTCCCGATGGGATTGGCTTGAGGAAAACACTAGCGCGTCTGACTTGCACAAGGGTTACAATGCTGCCGTTCAGGGAACGACTGACACGGATACCGCCGCACGCACCTCCCCTAGTGCTCCCGGTGCCGGGGACCAGGGGGGTGACGCCGCTGCAGCCAGCCCCAAGACGCCGTACCCGGGTGTGTTTGGTACCGAACTGAGTAGGGTAGTGGGCAGTGGGGTCGGCGATGGCCAGCCTATTTCGAGGCCAGAACACGCCATCTTCAGCTTGGCCATGGTCGGCGGCGGCAGAGTATTCGGTCGAGCTCACCTACACGGTACGTCCGACCAATTGCTTTGAATGTCGACAGAGCGAACAGACGGCCTTTTCATCTCACAGCTTACGTGGCAGGTCCACCACAAACATGCTAATGTGTATCTCGAACAGACTTTCCCTGGGCGTCTCTCGGAGCGGCTACTGTAGTTGACGTTGGTGGAGGCGTAGGTAAGGCGAACCCCTCTTTCGATGTCTGACGCCCTCTATCTCCGTCTTCATTCGTCCTAACTCTCAATGCTCCATCATTCCGAGTCCCCTCTTCTATTCGAGGCATTGTCCTACAACCGTATGGATAGTGCGCCACTCGCCATCACCCCCAATTCTCGGCCCTCGACGTCGAACTGTATTCTGGCCGAGCGGACGCTGTTGCTGATGTATCTCAGGTGGCTTCTGTCTGCAACTCTCTCATCTCTACCCTGACCTGAAGTTCGTCCTTCAGGACCGTGGCCCGGCCATCGATAAGGCCCAGAATGATGTCTGGCCGCGCGAGAACCCCGCGGCCCTTGCCGCAGGTCGAATTCGGTTTGTTGTACATGACTTTTTTGAGAAAAACCCCGTACCCGAAGCGGATGTATACTGGCTCCGGTATGTGCTACATGACTGGTCAGACGACTACTGTGTACGCATCCTCAGCGGTATCAGACAGAGCATGGGTCCTAGAAGCCGCATCTTGATCTGGTAAGTCAGCGATGAGACCCGGGACGCGGGACCTACCTCCGCCCCTCCGTTGTACCCCCCACTCCTCTTCCCTGTTCCCCCTTTTCTCCCTGTTCCCTTCACTGCTCCGCCCTCTTGGATCGTGACCCCTCGTTCCGCGAGCCCTAGGAATAAGCTTGCTGATCCAGTTGCTGTCGGCCCGTAACAGCGATCAAGTCATGAACACAACTCATGGGTGCTCTGACCTACCTCCAGCGCCCCAACCCCTGCTGCCAAACTGGGGCTACTACACAAGATACTCGCATCAGCGGGACCTGGCTATGATGGCGATCATTAACGGCATCGAGCGGAAGCCTGACGAGTTCCGGGAGCTAGTGGAACGTGCCGGACTCCGGCTGCGCAAGATCTGGGACTGCCGTAGCCAGGTTGGTCTGGTTGAAGTTGTCCTGCCCAACTCTGAGCTGTAGCGCTTGTGTCCTTGAGCTTGTTGCCTTCAGAAGCAAACGGCTGGGCTAAGATGATCAATTAGGGACGCACAGAATGCAAACACAGCAGTCCGGCCTGAAGGGGCCAGCAACCTTTGGGGGATGTAGCACTGATCTGGCCACGTTATCAGCTGCCTCGCAGATAGTTTAAACTGTGAAACCTCCCCTGAATAATATCGCCGGTCCCATACAATTGCGCAGCTCGTTTCCCCCATCCTATAACGGCTTTCTCCGTCGGTACTGACAGGTCTGATTACGATTACACGCATTGAGCGCAAACTGTATCTGTTCATGGCTGTCATCTAGATCATGTGCTGCTGGATGGGTGACATTCTTCCCAAGGAGTCAGGTGCCCTGTCCCGTAGCATTGGTTGCGGGTAGAGTGCTATCAGGCAATACGCTGTGAACGCCCTGAAAGTAGAAGTAAAACGCGGTAACCGAGCGTGCTTAGAGTTTCGGCAGTAGCAAAGGCAATTCCTCCTACACCGACGTACGATATCCAAAAGAGAAGTAAAACGAAACGCAATGAAAGCGACCATGTTGGTGGCAGTATAGTCATGTCGACATATCATTACCCTAGAAAGGTACCTATTCAGGAGTAGTCTTGCCTTGCCCCCTCGTCCCTGCTTTGCCTGCCGCTGTCTTGGCTGCAGCGGCCTCGCCTGTCCCAGTCATGTCAAGCCCACCCCCACGGCGACCTCAGCCCGCATTCGGCCCCACAGCTCACCCCAGTCAGGCCGGGTCGGCTCCGACCTTTTCACATGCATCTACAACTCATGCTTAATGCCTGCCATTTGCGGGGCAAAGCCGCTATGAGTTCTATCTGGTGTATAACGCGATCAGCTCGTACGCATACTGATGGGGGGGGCATATTTGAGCGGGACTCGCTCTTCTTAGCGAGTAGCTTCGACAATCAGTTCTCGTTCGGTTATGTTTAACAAGTGGAAATTATACCTTTAGTTGTTCAGTTATCGTTATTGAGGCTTTGCATCCTTTCCTTCTTTCTTTCACCTTTTCCTGAACTGGAAGCTGTGTTGTTATTGTAAATACACTGCACTATTCGATTTCCCTCTTGCACGCAGGCCAGGACGCCATGGACGCCGTGCAAGGCCCGAGGCAGCCCAAGCGCTGGACGGAAGAAGAGGACGCCATTCTCCACGAGGAAGCCATCAAGCAAGGCAAGTGTATCGTCTCGCGCCGAGCTTGGAAGCTCCAGCTCACATCTGCCTGGCTGCGTCCCTAACACTACCCTCTACCAGCCTCCCTGGGCCCAATTAAAGACTGGCATCGGATCGCTGCAAAGCTGGCGAACCGCACCAACAAGGACTGCCGCAAGCGCTGGTTCAACAAAGTACGCGGCGGCCTGAGAACTGGACCGTGGAGCGAGGACGAAGATCAAAAACTTCGGCAGGCTGTGGAGAAGTACGGCCAAAGGTGGGAACCGCCGAGCAATTTCGATCATCCGCAAATCCACATATGGAACCAACGATGATTGTTTTGCCAAGGGTACACAAGACTGACACGATGCAGATGGACTCTGATCTCCCAGGAGTTCGGGTCTCGCAGCTCTGACCGTGAGTACACCTTCGCGTGTTTTACCTAACCAACGACCACATTGTGATGCACCCCACCATCCGTTTACCCGCATTCTCCGCTTTGCCTTGGTCACTCTATGGAAGGCGAGATGACTTTTGGGAAAACCAGGTTGCTCAAACCCACCTGGCAGCTGGCGATGCCAAGGCATAGCGGCTACACGGGAAAGCAAAAGAGTCAAGATGCTAATCGCAATTATGGGTCAGAATGTGCCAAACGATGGCAGTACACCCTGGATCCCAAGCTCGGGCATCGACAGTGGACCTCTGGCGAAGTGAGACAAACTCCCTTCTCTGTTCATTCATAGCTTTTGATCTTGGGCTGACCTGACATACTCTTGGAGGACCACCTGTTGCTCGAGTTAGTCCAGTCGTTCGGCCACGACTGGAAGTTCATTTGCCAGCAGCACTATCCAAGCAGGTCGAGAACAGACGTCAAGAACCGGTAAGCAGCATCCTTAGGTGGGGGCACACCTCATATGTTGACCATAGCTCATGGTACAACTGTACTGAACCGACACCACCATTCGTGGCTAGCAACATGTAGACCTGGAAGAATTGTCAATCACTAACCTTCTTCCTCATCTCCAGATATACCATTCTCAGCCGCCGACTTGCTGCTGGCGCTCCGGGAGAGTCACCGTCTGAGGTGGCATCACCTCTGAACCCTTCAGGTGAATCCTCGCACGACATCCCCGACTCCCTCGATCCAAGCAATGACATGATGCATTGTGCTGAGGATGATCTTCACTACTTCTCTGCTGGTAATGATTCACTCCAAGTTCCAGAATCGGTGAGCGCCGGCGTAGCAGGACACCAGTCTACCCCGGAGTTTGAAATATCTTTTCCTGACGATTTCGACTTCAACTTGGAGGGCGATCCCAGCTATGGAGACACCATTATGGATGGCTGTACAGACTCTCCCTTCTTCAGCAGCTCACAGCGCACATTCTCAGTATGCCCTACCAGGGCAGCGGACGAGCCCAGCTGGCTGTTCACCAATGCTGACGGCGCACTGTCCCCCTCTGCGGCGGCGCCTAGCGAGGGCAGCCACGCCAGCCAGACGTTCACGAACATGTTTGATCTCGAATTGGATAACAAGGGGCAGCTCCACATGTCCAAGACCTTCAATGAACTTGAATCTCCTACGGGTGCCCTTCAGTTCATCGAGGGGCTAGATCCGCGCGTGACAGAACCAGACTTCAGCATAGCAGGCGGCGGCGACAAGAGGTCTTCATCATTCAGCGTGGTACTAGTTGCGGAGGAATGTGACCATGAGTTGGTCAAATATCTCATCGATGTCACCAAACCAATCAAGGGAAGGGTAAAGATGGAAGTTGTCATGTGAAGGGTGCATTTCAGGAATTCTGCAGCAGGCCACGTAATAGCGAACAAATAGAGGACACATTGCAAACGTGCATCATGACCAAAGTGGCAATACTGCGCTTGATCTACGTCGCGGTAGGCTGGTAGGCCTTATTTGATGTGTGAAGGGAGCATTCGCGTCTTCCCGTGGTGATGATACGTTCTTCCCGTATTTCAAAGCAGTCTTTGGGGGTCAAAAACCTATCTAGCCTTTTTAGGAAGCAAACTCTCGGATTACAAGTGAGGGCATCTGTGAAAGTAACAGTTGACCTAGGCAAACCTCGAAAAATGCTTCACCCACCAGCCGGCCCACTTAGCGGCAGCAAGCGTTGCAACTCGGCCAGAGGGAATCGGCGACACTGCAAACAAACAGCAGGTCTTTTGTCTCTGAGCGAAAGCAAAATCAGCATAAGTGAGTTTCTATTCGCCAAGAAAATTAGAGTCAAGATCTGTAGCGATTCCATCACGAAGTCAAACACGCATCAGATGGATCCAGTGTACTGAGTCGTTTGCATCAAACGGTATGCTGGAATGGTTCGACACCCCATCGGCTTTATCGGCGTTGCCAGGGTCTGGCGCACCTCCAGAACCGCGTTCCACTACACCTTCTAGACCAAATGTCGGTGTTAAGATCTGGCCGACCGATAATCTGCCAAGCCTTGATTCTTATGCACTTACCATGTAGTGGCTACTACGGGGCCTGGCAGCCAGCAATCAAGAATCCACACTCCCGTCGTAACGTGAAAGACATGGGGGTGCCGTACTCCGGTCCCTGCAGATGCAACCTCACCTCAGCCTTGGCGCTCACTCAAGGCGCATCAGATAGGTGTGCATAGACTATGGCCAACACCAAGAAGCCAACAGGTTGAAGTCTGGCTGCATTGGCACAAAAGTGCCAGATTACCTCGCCTTGAAAGCGTTCGTTTGCAGGCCTCTTGTTTCCATGTGAATTTACCCACTGCCGTCCAACCCCCAAACCCTTTGCAATCTCGACCTCCTGGCCTTCCAGACACATCAATTAAATTTTCTTAAAAAATCACCGTCATGTCCAAAGTCTGGCTCATCACCGGCTGTTCCTCCGGGTTCGGCCAGCAAATTGCTCTCGCAGCCCTCGCCCGCGGAGACACCGTCATGGCCACAGCCCGCAACCCCCGAACCCTCACGGATCTTGCCAGCAAAGGCGCCATCGTTGAACGACTGGACGTTACCGACACAGACGAAAACCTTGCTGCGTCTGTCAATGGCTTCCTATCCAAGACGGGTGGCAAGCTTGACATACTCGTTAACAACGCCGGATACATCCTGTCCGGTGGCGTGGAGGAATGTAGCCGCGCCGAAGTCCAGGCCACATTCAACACCAACGTTTTCGGGCAGCTGAACGTTCTCCGAGCCGTACTGCCCGTCATGCGGAAGCAGCGGAGCGGCATCATTGCCAACCTTGGCAGCATCGGCGGCTGGTCCGGCTCGCCAGCTGCAGGATTATACTGCGCCACCAAGGCGTGCGCCGCCATGATCTCCGAGTCACTGCGGCTCGAGGTCGCCCACCTGGGCATTAAGGTTGTCTGCATCGAGCCGGGATATTTCCGCACCAACTTCCTTGCACCGGGCCACCGAACCCGCGCTGCCACGGTCATTGACGACCTGGCGGCCGGGGTCGACGGGACCATCACCGCTCTGGACGCGTATGACCGCCAACAACCGGGAGATCCGGCTAAAGGAGCTTCGGTCATCGCCGAGGTACTCACTGGTACGGGAAGGGCCGCTGGTCGAGAGTTGCCGCCGCGACTTGTTGTGGGGAGGGACGCTTACGAGATCATCTCGGGGAATCTAGATCGCAACCGGGCCAGCTTGGAGGCCTGGAAAGATGTGACTACGACAACTGACTGCGATGCATAATGCGTAATGCAATATGTAGGCTGCCTTATCGTTGCATCCCAGATCTTCTGCAAGCTGGTCAAGGCACGGTGTGCCTTGACCTTATCCCAAGTTGCATCGGAGTGACGTCCGCGCCTTTTACTTCACCTCGGCTAGACAGCAGCAAAAAATCAGTTTTAAATAAAGTACAGCACGTGCTTCTCTACGCTCCCTTCCGAAACTTAAAATCAGGATAGTCGTGCTTCGTTAACTTCTTGTGGGACAAGCGATGGATGGGTCTGATGGATGATTCCATGATGGACAAAGTTTAATGGACAGGTTCATTCTTCGGCCGTTTACTGATGCATCCCCATCAAACGAGTCGACTCCGCGCTGATGGCCTAATAGCCTTGGGGATTTTTAAACCTTGGCGTCAAACCTTGACGTGTGACTGTGCTCTAAAAATCTTTCTGCGACGTGTATGAGACGGAAATGTATCATGACTGATGGCATTTTTGCATCTACGAATTCTCGGCCACTACTCGAGAAAGCCCTCCTTCCGCCACCGCGCCACATACTTCGCAATCAGCTGCTGAGGGACCCCTCCGCTACTTCGCAAAGTTTCTGATACAGCCAAAGCCCTCGCGGTATCGAGCACTACAGACCCGCCAGCTAAAGGTCGAAAATGGTCTCTGAAAAACCCCTCTAACGAGCGAAGTGCCCCAGCATCACAAGACTGTTGCATCCACTCCTCGAATGAGATAGTCTTGGTGGGCAGACCAAGCTCCGCCGCAAAAAAGGCGCAGATATCGGCTAGGGGCTGCCGGACAGGATTCTCCAGGTGCAAGAACAGAGGGACATCCGCTGCGTGTAAAGCTATTTCCGTAAGAGATTTGGCAGCACGGTCGACAGGCAGCCACGACGCTGTCTGTGAGACGAAGAATGTTAGCCTCACTGTCCGAGGAGCCACGTTAGAAATAAAAAGGTCGACAAAACTTACCCCTTCAAGAGTCGGCAAACCCCCCACCATCTGACTCGCTTTCACCAGCGCGGGAATGTGCTCTGCCGTCTTCCATATGCCCTCACCGCTCTCTGGCCCACTGAGCTGCCCGATGCGCACAACAACAGGCTCAACTTCATCCCGCAGCTCTTGACTGACTTGCGCGAGCATTTGCTCACACACCCACTTCGCTTCCGCATAGCCCATGGGCGTGGCAATGCGCGGGTCATAAAACCCCATTTCCGGGACGGCGCCTGTTGCAGAGGGGCCGTACATGGAACCTTGCTCATCGGAAAAGCCCCGCACCACGGCAATGGACGATGCAAAGACAAGGCGGACCCGGCCTGTGGCTGCCCCGGCGCCGCGCAATCGTGCAGCCCTGGTAAGTCGAATCAGTCCCTGCGTCGCGCGGAGTTGCGGCTGGAAACTTTCGAGCGTGCGATGGAAGTCCATCGGCCACGCCAGGTGGATGATATGGGACACCTGGTCCGCAACTCTGCTGAAGCTGGACTGAGTGTCCAGGAAGCAATTCGTGCCCGTAGCCCACTGGCCTGGGTCGCACTGCTCAAACTCGACCTTATCCCATTGCTGTGGGCTCAAGCTCAGGCCAGCAGCCCCCAGAGCTGTCCTGACACGCTGTTCGGGGGTGCTCTGTCCACCAGTCCCTTCTCGCACGAGGCAGATGGTTTTCTTGACCAGTGGGTTGGAAGCTAGCTGAGCCACCACATTGGCGCCAAGATTACCAGTCGCTCCAGTAACTGCGACAGTGAAAATGGTCTTTGGGCTTCCGGGCGTGGTCTGGGCGCGGATATCTCGGACGCAGTCACCCAAAAGCGCCCGAATGTTACTCAGTCGTGAGGCGGGACCTGGAGTGTCCTGAGACTCCGTACTGCCGCCTGTCGTTTCTCCTTGCTCATAGAGTAACTGGGTGACTGCTTGAGCGAGACGCCAAATGGATGGGTGCGCGTAAACAAACTCCTTGGTGATCAGTTGCTGAGAATTGGCCTCGCACCTGGCATGCTTTTCGCTCAGGGCCGAATTGAGCAGTCTGGCCAGCCGAACACACTGAAGGGAGTCCATGCCCCGCTCGAACAAATCATCCTCTTCGCCAACATCCAAATGAGAATCGGAGAACAAGTTCGTCGCCACCGCCCTGACCATCTTTTGGACACTCGTTACGATATCAGATGTGTCGGTAATGGCATCGCCCGCAGTCACCTCATTATCCAATTCGGCGTAGGCAGCCTTAATTTCCTCCTGGAACAGGTCTGCAACCTCCCGGCGCATGACGGAACCTTTATCTGATCGAGGAATTGTCTTACTGGGGCGCTTGACAATGATGGCGTTGATCGAAGATATTCGAGCATGCTGGTCCAGAGTCTCGTTGAGAGACTTGACCAAATCCCATACATGCCTTTTGAAATCATTTACCTGGACAGGTGACGACGGTTCAACGATGAGAAGAACTTCAAATGCGCCGCTACCAACACAAACAGCCGTCTGAATTTGTGGATCTGTCATGAGCGATGTTTCCACTAGACGTGGCATAACTTTCTCGCCTGACTTGAGGACAATAACATCGTCCATGCGGCCAATGATTCGTACTTCAATTCTGGAAGAGTTGTTCTGATTTCGCTCCAGTTCATCTTGTACTTCGAATGGCGTCTGCCAACCGACGGGGTATCCAATAAGTTTGAAGCGCTCAGACCCTTTGATGGGCTGGAGATGAAGCCCGAGATCCTCACGCAGTCGTAGGTAGTGATGGTCGTAGTCGCGGCCAGGGTGGAAGATTGGTGCGATGGCCCCGATTTCAGTGACGCCGTAATGATTGACGAGCCTGATCTTATTTTCAACCAGATGCGTGCCAAGGTCTGGTCTCAATGCTCCACCACCCACAGCAACGAATGCCAGCGTCTTGAGCGAGTTCACAGCAACGATCTTCTCATCGTCAGGAAGCGATAAAAGGTCCTCAACAATGCTGGGGACGGTCAACAATGCTTCTGCTTTGAATAGTCGAAGCAGATCAACAGTTGATCGCCCTGCTGGGATGACGGAGGCCGGAGGGAAACAGCAGGCCATTCCGATGGAGAGGCTCAGACATGGCGCAAGTAATCCAAAGCCATGATACAATGGCAAGGTTGAGAGGCTTCTTGAGCAAACTTCGTCCTCGTTGATCTCATGGCAGGCAGCGTAGCCCAAAATATAGCGTGGTGCAAGATAAATGGGCTTTGGAAGGCCGGTCGTCCCGGAGGAATGAAGGATGAAAGCTCCAACGTTTGTTCCCGGATCTATGCCGTTGACACTTGACCTTGACTCGAGATGGAGAGGACTTTCAGCCGTTGGACTTATGGTATGCTGAAACATCTCTCCATCGACGTCTAGGCCACCGCCTGGATCCGTTTCGTGAAGGAATTCCTGCCAATGCAGCACCTCAGTCAAGCCCACACCCCCAATGGCGCTCTGCTGTATCATAAACTTGGTTCTTTTCGTGACCAGTATGAAGGCTGCCCCTGTTTCTCTTAGAAGATGAGCAACACTTGGCGGACTAAGTCTTGCTGATATTAGTAACAGCTATGTGTTTCACGGTCAGGACTTGTAGTTGTGATGGGGCTGAACCACTGGAACTCTTACCGGAATCTTCATTTCCGCCAGAGCTGCTAGGTACATGAACAGACCAACATCGCTTTCCATGTAAAGCGCAATTGGTCTGTGATCCCCCATCAAAGCTCCAGGCAAAGCTTTTCCTATCCAGGCTGCGCAGGCCCTGACTGCGGCAAAGAGCTGCCCATATGATATACTGCAAGAATGGTACTTGTTACCAAAACTTTTATCATCTTCATCAAAGGCTGGGCTTTGAACTGATAAAGCCTGTTTGCAGAATGTTTCCTTGTTATTATGTTCGGCGTTGAAACGAATCAACCCCGAAAGAGAGGATATTTCATCTTGATCAGAAGTTCCCGAAAGGCTCTTTGAGGGGTTTGGATAGAAGCGAGGTCGCACGAAGCTTTTGGAGGATGTGTGCCGCATCTTTCCAGGTGAAATTAAGGGTAAAGTTGCAGGTGCGGTTATGGGATAGGACGTAGTTGGCAGTTAATTGTTGTCGCGAACGTTTCCAGCGAGATAAGGCTTCTTGCGTGTCACTACCTGAACCAAAGAATGCAAGACCAGACAGATGGTTTGAGGCCCTGATTTGCTAAGTTCTAGTCAAAGTGACTGGGACCGGAGTCATACGATTAGGTTGCTCCTCACCAAGCACGGGGGGTACGCAGGGCCTAAGGACCGGAGTATGTGAACCCCAACAGGCCACTTGTCAGCCTTTTCACATGCTTTCAGCATGGACAATACTGTTGAAAAAGTCTTGAGAGTTGAGAAGAGCCTCGCTGCTTCTAGGAACCAGCCTTGAGCTGACCCTCAGCCGCTTCAGACTCAACTCGCGGACTACAGCAATTCTTGAAACTCTAAACACAAAAGATAGAAGGTCAACTTCCGCCATCATTCAACATTACAAAAGGCTTGAATTTTCATCTACAAGCAACTTCGAACAATGAGTGTCTCACGGGATGTGCTTGTCTTTGCCGGGCAAGGGTCCGACGGGCACTTTTTTGATAAACACACAGCAGTCAGCCTACTCGAGCGTCTTGAAGACGGCACTGAGAAACACTGGAAAAGATTCATGTCTCAATGCCACGCCTTGTTTGAGAGTCTTTACCGAAATCTGTCTGAAAACGAGCGATCGATATTTCCGGACAATACCCTGGCATTCTTTCCAACATCGGATGATTTCCTGTACCCATCACCGGCGTTCCATTCTCACCCGGTCTTTCAAGCGACAACTTTATTTATGCGACAAGTTTTGGAGCTTTTCATCTACCAAGGCTATCGTGGCAAGTCTTCCGTGGTTGTGGAGGCCTCTGGGGTCTGCACTGGAGCTTTGGCTGCTATCCTGGCCTCCGCATTCACGTCGTATGATTCTGCAGAGTTTGTCAGCGCTGCAGTCAGCGGTTTCAGAGTGTCCTTCTGGATTGGACTTCGAGCTTCTCTTCACTGCAGGGCAGTCATGGGGCCTGACTGGAAAGCGAACTCTTGTGTTTTAAGCATCTTCAAAACGCGAAACCCGCAGGTTGAAAACTGCGTGTCCGAGCTCAACTCGACTCTTGACGTATGTATTTAATCCTCACTCTCGTCAAATATGGTCAGAAAGCTAATTGAAACCGGCCCAGGCATCGGACATGCCGCTGAGACTCTCTGCAATCTTTGATGAAGATTCAGTATCAGTGACTGGACCAGGACGCAGCCTGGAGACGCTCAAGTCCACCATAGCTTCACTTCCAGAGCCGGGCACATGTCGTTGGGCGCACGTGCACGGCTTTTATCACGGCGGTGATAACATGAAGCTGGTATCAGATCAAGTCAAGAATGACATCCACGGCATCGAGTTCCCCGACTGGTCTGTACTCCATGCTTCGCTGAGATCCACGGCCACAGGGCAAAAATTCCAAGCAAACGACAAGAGTGTATCACTGCTCAGAATGGCTGTTGAAAACATCTTTTGCGACTCTGTTAACTGGAAGCTCACCTGGGAGACAGCTGCGGCGGACTATGCCGAGAAAATCCGCCATGACACGAATGCTACAATTCGAGTCATCGGAATAGGGCCCTCTGCCAAGTCTTTGCTGGGCGCAAACAAGGATAAGATCCGTGATACTGGAATACAAGTAATCGGGCATTTGTCAGAGGAGATAGACATGTTTGTGGACGATGACATTGCCATTGTCGGTGTATCTGCCAACTTTCCTGGAGAAAAGGGGCTTGATGGGTTCTGGAATACCATCAACAACGCCCGAAGTTGCGCTACCGAGGTAATTGTTCATTCACGAATAGCTGTATTTGACCTGACAGAATGCAACAGATCCCAGGCTCTAGGTTCAAGGTCTCCGACTATCACCAGCCCAATAGCGGAAGCCCCGATATTCCCCGACAGATGGGTTCCAAGCACGGCAACTTCCTCGACAATCCTTTCACCTTCGACACGGAGTATTTCAACATATCTCCAAGAGAGGCCAAGTCTATGGACCCGCAGCAGCGTCTCCTGCTGCATGCTGCTGTTGAAGCCCTAGATGATGCTGGATATTCGCCTGGAGCTACCCCCAGTTTCCAGCAAGCCTCCTTTGGGGTTTACGTTGGCGCAGCTACAGGTGACTATGTCGACAATCTTAGAGATGAAATCGACGTCTACTACAGCCCAGGTAAGTGATCTACAGTCCGCTAATCACATGCAAAGACTCGCAATTCTTGAATCACATCGACCCTTCTATCTAACGCCGGCTGCTAGGAACGTTACGAGCATTTATGAGCGGTCGCATCTCGTATGTCTTTGGCTTCAAAGGTCCCTCTGTCGTCACTGATACCGCATGTTCATCATCTCTGGTCTCAATTTATCATGCTTGCAAAGCTTTGCAATCCGGAGATTGCACAGCCGCGCTGGCGGGTGGCGTAAATGTCATCTCAAGTCCTGATGTACGCAGATTCTGCCCTGACCGTTAGGCCCTTGCATCCGGGACTAACCTTGCCCTTAGATGTACCTTGGCCTTTCCAGAGCTCACTTTCTGAGCCCCACCGGCCAGTGTAAGCCCTTCGACGCTGAGGCAGACGGTTATTGCCGAGCAGAAGGTTGTGCTTTGGTCGTTCTCAAGAAACTATCTCAAGCCCGGGCAGAAGGAGATCAAGTCTATGGCATCATTCGAAGCATCGGCGTCAACCAGTGCGGAACTGCGAAGTCCATAACGCACCCGGATTACAAAACGCAGGCTGAGCTCTTCTCGCAAACTCTCCATCGAAGTAGGCTGAGCTCCGCAAGCATCGATGTCGTTGAAGCGCATGGTACAGGCACACAAGCTGGCGACTTTGCCGAGGTGTCAAGTTTATCCTCCGTTTTCAAAGGACGTCCAGCAGACAATCCGCTGCATCTGGGTTCTGTCAAGGGAAACATCGGCCACGTCGAGGCCGCGTCAGGCATCGCTGGCCTCATCAAGCTTCTCCTTATGATGAAGCATGAAACTATTCCTGGACAGGGATCCTTCCAGACTTTGAATCCCAGACTGACTTCCCTAGCCAACGAACACAATTTTGTAGTCCCAAACAGTCCCCGCAAGTGGACAAGGACCAAGGGTCACCCTAGACGAGCGCTCCTTAACAATTTCGGCGCTGCTGGTTCAAACGCCACCTTAATTCTTGAGGAAGCCCCTCGCGAAGTCTCGTCCACCAGGGTCCCGATATCACAACGCAGCCAGCATCTACTGACAATGTCGGCGAGGAGCGCCAAAGCTCTCGAGCGTCTGAGATTGGACTACACCTCTTTCCTTGAAAAAAGCCGGCATTGCATGATACAAGACATATGCTACACTTCAAGTGTCAGGCGGCGTCATCACAAAGAATTCCGTTGGTCCGCCACTGGGGCTAATATTGATGACTTGTTGGTGCAGATACAGACAACGGCTGCGTCCCCGGAACGAATTGTTTCAAAACCGTCGAAAACAGTGTTCGTATTCGCTGGTCAAGGCGGTGCCCACGAAGGCATGAGTGCCGAGCTTCTGCGCACATCTTCAGTCTTTCGGAATGCCGTACGGGAGTGTGATACCATCTTGCGGCGGCATGAATTTCCAACAGTCGAATCCTACCTGGACCCGACACCTTCTGCAGTTAGCCATGGTTCTCTGCACGAAAGGGATGGTATCATCTTGGTCCAGTGCGCATGCTTCGTATTGCAGTATGCGTTGACACAGCTCCTGCGGAGCATTGGGTTGACCCCCGACCTAGTTTTGGGTCATAGGTCAGTACTAACCCCTATCACGCTACTTTCACCCTACTCATGAAATATGGTATACAGTATTGGAGAGTATGCCGCACTCGTCACTGCAGAGGTCCTTGGGCTAAAAGATGCCTTGCTGTTTGTTGCTCGGAGAGCAGAACTGATGGTAAACCACTGCGAGGCAGGGGAGTCTGGCATGCTGGCATGTCGAATGTCTCCTCCAGATGCCTCACGATTTCTTGATAAAAGATTCGCTGCATCGACTGACGACTTAGTCGTGGCATGCCGCAACAGCCCAGAGGACTGCGTTATTGCCGGTCCTACCGCACGCCTCGTTCAAGTTTCTGAGGTGTTAAAGGCCGAGGGTGTTAAAAACAAGCTGCTGAATGTTTCCTACGGGTTCCATTCACCAGTCATGAATGCGATAACGCCCAGTCTGAGGAATGTTGCCTCATCCATGGCCATCTGCCGGCCTAGCATACAGGTTGGCTCCAGCGTTCTCGGACAGCTGATACAAGGACACGAGATCCTTAAACCTGACTATTTTGTCAACCAGACAAGCCAGCCAGTCTTGTTCATGGAGCTTCTGGCAGATATTCAGTCCAACAATTCACAAACGACTCTGCAGGTGATCGAAATTGGACCATCGACATCAAGTACGTTTATCCTCATACCAGGCTCCATTTCTACACAGTCATTCTTGAGTGATACTTATTATTTCCTTCAGCAAGTTCCATGTTGAAGTCTTCTTTCACGCAAATTCCATATTCGTACTCGCCATCACTGCGACCATCCGAGTCCCCTTGGAAAACGATCACATCCGCACTTCAAGGCCTTTACCAGTCAGGGCGAGACCTCAACTGGGATGCAGTTTTCAGAGACGAGTCACCACGCTTTTTGAAGGAGGTACCGTGCCAGGTTCTCGATGGCAAAGAGTATGTGGTTCGATATCATGAGCCAATGTCCACAAACAAGCCTGCTAAGGATGTGGATTCCGACTTGTCCTCAATTGGCTTCGAATTGTTGGCCTCATCTACCATGACCGCTCTCAAAGATGGGTCAAGCATTTTCCATGTTCCGATTGCTAGGTTCTCGAAACTCATCGAGGCACATGCTGTTGGCGGCATCCCGCTCTGCCCAGCATCTGTCTACCTCGAACTGGCCTTAGAGGCGCTTTCAGTGACCAATACCACCTTCAACATCCCAAGATGGTACTCAGTTCATGATGTCTGCTTCGAACACCCTTTGGTGTTCTCAAAGGTCAGGTCAGACGTTGTGGAAGTTAACGTACAGTCGATCGGGCAAATCGCCTCACTTGGATCATCCCGTTTCTCCATTTCGAATCGCGACCATGGCCACCTCAACTGTTCCGGTTCCATCTCCCCCATGGCTGAGCAGGTCATCGAAGAGCTCTTCATGTTGAAGAGTGCGTACGTCAGGAAGCAAAAGGCCATTTTATTCCAGCTCGCAACTTCCAATACCCTGGAGACGTTTACTGCTCGAACAATCTACGATGTCATCTTCCCTCGCGTTGTATCATATTCGGAGCCATTTCGGACCCTTAAACATCTTACAATCAGCTCATTTGGTTTGGAAGGCTACGGCACGTTCCAGCTCCCCGACACTCCGCAGTCTGGCAAATTCGTCTCCCCACCCCCGTTCGTGGACACCTTGCTCCATGCAGCCGGGTTTATTGCGAACGCCAAAACAGATGTCAAAACAGCATGCATATGTGTGAGCCTCGGCCGCATCGTGCTTCCGGACATGTCGAAACTTCAACCAGGTGGCCAATTGGACATCTACTGCAGCCTACTCGACGTGGGCGACAGCACTCTGGCAGATGCATATGTTCTCGATCAAAACGGCCATATTGTTTCATTTGCGGAAGGAATGCGCTTCAAGAAGATCCGCCTCAGCTCTTTTCAAGCTGTCTTATCCCGCGCAACGCAGACAGAAGGCAAAAATGGAACCGAGTCGTTGCCCAAGCAGGTTGAGGGACTGCTTAGGAATCCGAAGCCACAAAACAGCTCACGGTTGCAGGTAGAGGCACCCCCGACGCCGTCCGAATCTATGGCAGAGGTCGTGAAACACATGATTCAGTCTGTGTGCGGCGTCTCTTTGCATTCAACCTCTAGTCGGACGTTGACCGAGCTGGGTATTGACAGCTTACTATTTATTGAGCTGTCACAGGCCATTGCGTCGCGTTTCCCAAATCTCGTTGTGTCAACGGGCGAGATAGAAAGATGCCAGACTGTGCACGACCTGATTCAGCTACTGGCCAAGGCTCAAGGACATGATGATGTTTCCATGGCTCTGCCACCCTCAGTATTATCTGGTCGGCTGGTGCCTGAGGGCAACAACCTGCCCTCACCACCAACAGAGCCTGTGGGAACCGATGTTGCGTCCGAAGTTCGGGATCTGTTCATGGATATATGTGGGAGGTCCATCACCGCTGAAGACAAGGACGCAAGTCTTGCTTCCCTTGGGGTGGACTCCTTGCTCTCCATCGAGCTCGTTCACGAACTCCGCCATCGATTCAGGTTGGATCTTGAGGCGCTACAGTCCACCATCTCAGATATGAGCATCAACAACATCGAGGCTCTCTACACTGCGAACATTGCATCTTCAAGTAATAATTTCCAACATTCTGGCGAAATCATTGTGTCTTTACCTGGCCAGTCCTGCGACCTCGCCGAGCCAGAACTGCTCCTCCGAAAGGCAAACGATGAACGAGGTACCACCGACATCTTCTCACATCTCATCCCATCAACCTTCCCTCAGATTTTGCAAACCAGCAACTCCGACATAGCACCCTACAAGCCACCTCTCTACTTGTTTCACGATGGCAGCGGATTATCGAGCATGTATACTCGCGTGAAGCCCCTTGGACGGTCTGTGCGAGGCATCTTCAGTCCCGATATCCCTGCCATTGACCCTACGATTCAGTCCATGCAAGAGCTGGCATCCCGATACATTATGCAAGCAAATTTGATGTCTGAGAAGAGACCAATTCTCTGTGGTGAGTGCAAATAGTGGCAGTGGGGGTCGAATTCTTTGGTCAATTTGCTCACAGAAATTAGGCTGGTCGTTCGGTGGCGTGCTCGCGCTTGAGGTCTCCCACCAACTACAACAGCGTGGAAACTCGCCAAGAGGCATTATTCTCATCGATTCTCCCTTGCCAGTTGAGCATGAGTCCCTGCCAGGGGAGATCATTTCCCGTGTCGTCAGGAAACTTCCGAGCCTGCACGAATCAGAGGCCGCAGCAAAAGTGCGATCTTGCGTCGAGGCCCAATTCCGTCGTCATGCAGGTCTTTTGGAGAGATACAGCCCTCTACCTCTTAGAGGTGATGTTCCTTGCGTTTCCATTGTCTGCAAGAAGACAATCGATACCCGAGCGCTTTGCGGCGTTTCGTACCCCTGGCTCTCCGACGTTGGCTTTCGAGCCGAGCAATTAAAAGGCTGGGAGAGACTCCTTGGCCGGGAAATCCCTGTTTTAGAGATTGACTGCAACCATTTTGAGGTGTTTGACGCGCCGAATGTAAGTAATCACTCATATCCATTTTCACACAACTGGCATTTATACTTACGATGGCGTAGATTGATGAGATCTCCTTACGGCTGGAGAGAGCGTGTGCGATACTGGACAGAGTTGAAGAATAGGTGTTGGTTGAGGCTGTGGTTTTGCGCATGACACGTGCTGCTCGCGGTGAATCCTTTCCATTTATAAGTTGGATTAGGTAGTTTTAGAAGTTCATGAGTTCCTTCAATTACATCTTCGCTCCGGAGTTTCATCTTTCATTTCAACATGAGCTGTTCAAACTGTCCAGAGCTCAGGTGCCCAAGGAACAATATCACTTGCAAATGCAAGCAACTTCCAAAAGTACAACTGTTCAACAATAAACTTTTTCGTGAGATACATCGTCAGAAATGTCGCACCTTTGCGAATGGCGAAAGCTCATTCTCGCTACCCCTTGATGATGAATATTTGCCTAAATCCGGATTTCGTACCCTGACATTGGAGAATACATCAACTTTTTACCGTGTTCAGCATTCATCAGCAGATCAAGAAGTTGGCGATTACTCTTTCCTTGATGAGCATTAAGTTTTAGGCCCCCACGAACGTCAGAGGCGCCAAACTGCTGGGACTACATGGATTGTTCGTTGAGGTGGTACCCCCACGATTGCGTGCTCGAACCACATCCACACCTACATCATCAGCTGCGAGAGGGGCAAAATGCATGCAGACCACGGCGTGTGGAGATCCGCGCTTGTGAAATCTTCAAAATCTTACATCTGGACATCGGTTTATCAATACTGTGAGACACTGTCGCAAAACTCCTTGTCTGATCACGGACGTCAATGCTGGAAGCGCACCAAATCGGCCTCGGTACAGTAATTCACGCAGCCTTGCAGCGGGGAGAGCAGCTGTATTTGAATATGAAGTCTACTCATCTTCACTCGCAAGACGAGGAAGACATTCTAGAGTCGCAAAATGATATTCCGCCTCGGGCAGCTACAAGAGAGGCGGCAGAGGACTCGGAAACGACACTCCCCCTTCGCGAGGACCAGCCACTGCTTCAATCACCAGACGCGCATGCTGGTGATGATTGGACCCCACCATCAGGCTTCGGGTGGATAGAGCTTGCCATCATGTCCAACGTTTTCTTATATGGCTTTGACGGAACGATCACCGCGGCTACATACGCTATCATCAGTTCCGATTTTGATGCCGCCAACACCGCATCTTGGCTCACCACTTCGTACCTGGTGACGAGCACCGCGTTTCAGCCACTCTACGGACGCTTTTCCGACATATTCGGAAGAAGAGTATGCTTTTTCGTCAGCACCATCACTTTTGGACTTGGCTGTCTCGGTTGTGGATTGGCAAATCACATCGTTGTTCTCAACTGCATGCGGGCATTGACAGGGTTTGGTGGTGGAGGGTTGATGACAATGGGTGAGTGCACTGGTTGAGTCGCTGAGTCGGTGTTCTAATGAATGCTCAGCAACAATCGTCAATTCCGATATGATCCCTTTCCGCAAGAGAGGCATGTACCAAGCCATGCAAAACGGCATGTTTGGTTTTGGCGCAGTGGCAGGCGCCTCATTTGGCGGTTCAATCGCAGACTACATTGGTTGGCGTTGGTGCTTCCTCCTACAGGTTCCCATTTCGCTCGTGGCGCTTGTCCTGGGTGCCTTCGTGATCAAGAACCCTGAAGGTGGGTTCAATATCAACACAAAGGACTTGCGGGCCGTTTGGACTCACGTTGATGTTTCGGGAGCACTTCTCCTGGTAACTGCCGTGTCCGTCCAACTCATCGGCCTCAGTCTGGGCGGTAATGAATTACCCTGGGGTAGCCCAGTAGTCATTGGGACTCTTGTTGGCAGTGTTCTGTTGCTTGTCCTGTTCCTCTTGGTTGAGGCACGGACACGAGCAATCCCCGTCATCCCGTTGCGCATGCTCAAGGGCAGGCTTCCCGTCTTGACCCAACTTTCCAACGTCTGCGCTGGCTTTGCTGCTTATGCGGTCAGTGAACGATCTTCGTGTGGACTTGACTATCGCTAATGAACACAATTAGTATCTGTTCATGCTGCCCCTATTCTTTCAAGTGGTTTTGCTCGATTCTGCTACGAAAGCAGGAGCCCGGCTGGCGATCCCGTCCCTCGCCACACCATTAGGAGGGCTCGTGGCCGGCATTGTCATGTCTCGTTGGGGCAAACTGATCTGGCTTATCAGGCTGGGTGCGCTCCTTATGCTCTTCGGAAACGGCCTCGTGACGTCTTTGCAATTTGAAGATTCCAATTGGAAATACTTGCTGTACATCTTTCCCGCAAACTTAGGCCAGGGCATCATCTACCCTTCGATCCTCTTCACTACCCTTGCCTCATTCGACCATGCAGGTAAGCAATCAATTCGTGCTGCCATGACGGAAGGGTTTCCAACTGATTGGCTTTTAGATCATGCCGTCTCAGCCTCAACCGTCTACCTTGTTCGCTCGCTGGGAACGGTTTGGGGTGTTGCCATTACCTCTGCTATCGTACAGACCACCCTGAGTATCCGGCTTCCAGCAGTTCTTGGTGACATACCAAACAAAGAACAGGTACGTGACACTTTGATTGCCACTCGAAGCTTGCTGCGACTGCTGTTCAACAGCTGGATTCTATCATGGGTGGAATCAGGATTGACGTCGTCTAGCTTATCGAAGAGATACGCCATTCAGTAACAGCGCTCAAGTCAGCGCCAGTCGAAGTCCGACTGCCTGTCCGCCTCGTTTACTATGAAGGTATCAGATATGCATTCGCCGCATCTACGGCCGCTGCTGGGATATCTTTCGCGGCGGCCCTCTTCGCACACCCCCGAGGTTTGCGCAGCACTCACCAATAAAGAACTGAAATTTCGCCAAAGCGTCTCCGACGTTGGCAGGATCGGAACGCGCGTTCTCCTTCGTACTCACTGCACGGCGCCAAGTAGGCTTTGGCATCGGCGCGGAGACCCAGACCGCAAGGACCGCACTGCGCGGGGACGTCGACACTGCATTCTTGGGAGGGTGACGGGAGGGGCCGGAACTTTAAAATCGCGAGAGAAGAAGAAACATTTTAAACTTTCGGCGTTGAAGGCTTTTCCTGGCCAGCGGCCCCGCACCACGAGACTTGATTGATGCTTGATGGAAATCCGGGGTAAGCGGGCGAAAAGCTTGTAATTGACTTTCCCATGCACGGTTCAACAGCCAGATCAACCAAAGGAGCCACGTGCATGGTCGAGTGACCGCAGGCCAAGACATCGACCAGATTTTCGATTGAAGCATGTCGGATCAAGATACGGGCAGAAAGAGGCAACACGCGAGATATGTTCAAGTGAGAAATGTCAACACTGACTTGTGCACAGATGCACAGCCGTAATAGTCGGCGAGGGCAGCTCAGTATGGCTGACCGACAGGGCGTCGCCCCATGCTGACATCGTCAGTTGGGTCAGCCTCTAGTCATAGAGAGGGGGTGAACCATAGTGACCAACAACCATCCTGTACGTTGAATTGTTGTCATACTGGCGATACGACCTCAACCCAATTGCAATACTAAACTTCCTCCAATGATGCTTCGAATCTCCTTGCAAGCCGAGTCAGTTCCCTGGCTTTCCTGGTTCATTAAACAGAACGCTTTGCATCGCGGGGTATTGAAGCTCACAGGATGAACTTCCACCAATACCAAGAGAAACCCGAGAAATACGTTCTAAGGATGAATATCCTGCAGGTATCGGTATCGTATCATACTCCGGTCTCAGGTATTAACGCGCGCTAACAGGAAGGGCCATGTCATATTTCCCTGCATCTCACTTGTCATGTCGTGGAAACGGGATTCGAAGTTTCTCCGGGTGACAACCGAAAATCTCATGCGTGAATTGCGCTGCGTAAGGGTCACAAGCTGCCATTCACTGCATACGACCGGCGGGCGGATCGGCAGAGGACTGAGCATCGTCGATCTTTCGACACGCTGGCCGAGATGAAGATCTGCAAAGTCGTCACTGGATTGGTGGAGAGTCGGCTTCGATCTGCATGCTAGGACGGCCAGGTTCTCTGCTAAAATGCTTCCATCATTGCCCACAGTAGCCTCGTGGCAGTGCAGTCATCGGTTCACGGGCTCAAAATCTTGAAAAGCATCATGCGGGACGATCTTGACTGGCTGCAGGAGCCGGTCTGGGGAAACCAAGGCAGTGAGCAACAAAGAAAAATAACTCTGCAGCGATGGTTTCCCCAACTCTTTGGGGTGCATGCTGTCCTGCACTTTTCCTGTGCCACGCACTCGGATGTTATTTTTCCCCGCCTCCTGCTCGGTACATGTGTCGCCCGTGGGTTGCAATTCCCCAGGTACAGATTGGGCAGGTTGACAATGCGGAGACGTCACATCACGGGAATCCGCCCCTGCACCCCATGTTTTGGATTTGCTTTTGGGTGCTGCTTGGACGCGGAGCCGGGAGATTACCGGGACAATGATGACCGAGATCATATTGTACCTGACAATGACCTCGTCCGTATCTGGCAAACTCATCGTGCAAATCACTTGACAATACGGAGTCGCCTGACTCGAGTTGACATGGCGCAAGTTGCTTTCATCTCAAAGGCTGAGAAAGAACCAGACGCCATGGACTATGAGCACTGACTGCTGAATACGTTGAACAGCATCGGGACGCCGTCCCGTCTTCGAGATGTACATTGAAGCATCTTCGCCGGGACCATCGGTTTACCCCTGGGAGAGGCGTTTTCCTGCCGCACCACCAACAGTTTACTTCCTGCTCTCCTCCTCCTGACTAACCTCTTCCGTCGACAAGATGGCCCAACAAGGTCAGCTCCTGATCCTGCAGGCCCGTTGCAGGTCTCCACTCGATCATGTGTGCCAGTGTGGAGGTGAGAGGTTGCATCACCAGTGAAGACTAGCCAAGTTGAGACGATTGAGATGACAGCCCCGAGATACCAAATCGGTGCAAGACTGGTGGACTCTGGCGAGTCTCCCGCTTTGCGTTGTAGCGTGCACATTGATAAACCGTTTTGGCCAGAAACAGATGGATCAAGACATGGGTGTTTGGGAGAACGATCTTCCCGGCGCTTCGCGGCGTCCAAGGAACGCAGCTGCTGTGTGGTGTTGATGTTTGCCTGACTCTAGGATACGAAATTCTTCCTACGTTCACGCTGTGAAAGAGCTCTGACTCTGATGCTCTCGGGTCGACATTGGACGCGAGACCGAGGCCGACACTGCAATCGTCATTGGCAGAGTTGCATCGGTCATCCCGGGCAATGGGTCTCTGCAGCTGTCGAAAGTCCAGGACACCGGGTCCATGATATCAGAACATGACCACGACAGACGGCGACCTCGTTGCTCCGGCATTGATGACAAGGGCGCACCGGGATATGCGACCAGAAATGATCATGTCCCTCCGAGCATCTTGAAATTGCCCGATGTTATTCTGCGAAAAGCATGTCTTGGGACCGACCCTCTTTCAAGGTGCATCAGGTCCGCGATGCTGGCCTGGGCAGGGCTTGGGGGCCCGCTCGCCCAGGCTTGGAGTCGAGCGCTTGCCCCCCTGATCCTGTGTAACACCCACCGGGACGGCTTGAAAGGCCCAGAACTGAATGCTTAATATCCACGTACTTGGCGCCATTGCTGATTGTGGAGTTTGGGGGCCGACGAGGCCTGGAAATTGGAGGACGTTTCGAGTGTGTTGGCGGGTTTTAGGGGAGGGGCCAAGTGGGCGAGATCCGAGCCTGAGCTCCTTGCCACACGCGTGGGCGGGTGGTACATGTGGTACATGCGCAGATAAGCTTCAATTACATCCACCGATCCCCTTGCGCGGGAATCGAGGTTCCCTAACATTAAGTTTTCTGGAAGCGATTCCCGGGCTGCTAGCAATACTACTGCCACCTTAAATCGTGTGTGTTGTTTATTCTCTCGAGTAAGGTTTGAAGATCGCTTGCACAGCACAGCACCCGATTGATGCCCGCATTTCGATACGGTTGCCCCCGAGACTTGTCATCCATCAGGTAATCCGGCAATACAAAATTCATGCAATTAACTAAAAACATGCACACTGTCAGCTTTCCCCCCGGCAGACAGGCCCACAGAAGCTCCAATGTCTTGTGTCGCTGGGACTGGTCTGGACTGGGCCCCGAGGCGGAGACGGACACCACCAGGCACAACAGCAGGTTCGCCCCCCTACCCCGTTTCGCCCATGTCCTTTTGGGACTTCGCACTGGACTGCCCGAGCTTGAATCAAGCTTAGGAGATTGTTCCGAGCCTAGTTCCAGATGGCAGGTTAGAGGTGCAGCAGAACCCCAGTGACCGTGACAGGGGCCGCCATGGTCAACCACGAGGGTCACCCCAGCTCTCACTACCCTTCGGGGGGGGCGCCCAAATGCGGAGATGGATCACCCAGCACCAGGTGCCGGGCGAATGAGACAGGATGAAGACCACCAACACAACTACCATCGTTCCCTTTGCGGAGGCAGCCTCCCAGGTTCCACCAATCCAGCCGCCAAGGGGCTCACCCTCTTGGTCAGGAGCCCCTGGCCTTCCGTCGACTAGATTGTTCGAGGTTAAGTGACGTGACAGCACTTGTCCTGGCCCCTGTGGCCCTGTGGGCTTCTGTTAGCTTGGTAGCTTCACAGCTGATTGCTAGCACATCGGGGCGGGATGGCCAGACGACGGATCAGGTCCGATGGCTTTGAGCCCTCCCTTGGCCCTGACTGAATGAGACTTGAATTGGGGAAATTGTCTGTCCGTCAATCAAACGCCATGGCCGGGTGGCGGCGATGATGGGGTCCAGGTCCAGGAAGAATGTATATAAGAAGTCATGGCCAGACGTCGAAAGAGCAGAACTTCTCCAGATAGCAAGACACTTCAGCTTCTACAGTTCACTTCTTTGACTATTTTCCACAGTCCAACTCTTTATTTCAACATACAAACTTAACAACAACCTTCAGACCTCAACCATCAAAATGAAGTTCTCCCTCGCCGTCACCGCCGCCGTCTCGGCCGTCGCCTCTGCGCAGACTCTCAACATCCCTACCCGCTCTGGCAGCATCGTCTCTCTGGCCCAGCCTTCCACCATCAGCGGCTCCAAGGACTTCGGCAACAAGGAGTTTGACCGTGGCCGCACCTGCGACACCGACGCCGACACCGGCTCTGACTCTGCCGTCTTCATCCTCGAGAACGGTGCCAGCATCAGCAACGTGAGTATCGACTCTAGTGTCATAGCAAAGACGCTCTCTCTCTAACCTACATATCAGGTCATCATCGGCTCCAACCAGCTCGAGGGTGTTCACTGCAAGGGTGCCTGCACCCTGACCAACGTCTGGTTCCGTGACGTCTGCGAGGGTAAGCCTCCTTTCCTCTCTGCAACACTATGTAAAGATCGCCCTCGCTAACATTCTCTTCAAGACGCCATCTCTGCCCTCGGCAGCGGCAACGTCCTCATCAAGGGCGGAGGTGCCCAGAACGCCAAGGACAAGGTCGTCCAGCACAACGGCCGCGGCACTGTTACCATCGATGGCTTCACCGTCATCAACGCCGGCAAGCTTTACCGTGGCTGCGGTGACTGCACTGGCAACGGCGGCCCCCGCAACGTTGTCATCAAGAACGTCAAGGCCTACGGCATGACCTCCGACCTTGTCGGTATCAACTCCAACTACGGCGATGTGGCCACCATCAGCAACTCTTGCGGAACCACCAAGAAGGTCTGCCAGGAGTACAAGGGTGTGACCAAGGGCAACGGCAGCTCCTCCAAGGTCTCCACCACGGCCAACTGCCAGGGCGCCCAGGGCAAGCTCTCCAAGCTCCCCGCCTGCTAAATGGCTCGGCCATGTTTCTCGGCCGGAAGACGCGCTCTGTGAGCGCGGAATGAAAGCCAGAAGGCCCTCGCGTGTTGAGTGTTGCCAATTTTCTGTACATAGTTTGAGCATCCAGACTTCCCATTGATGTGGCCATAAAAGGTCGCTAGCGGTTGAAAGCCCTCCTAGATGAGGGCTTGGTCTTGAAGCGAATACATACACCCAAAATTTTCTTGCCTCGATTAACTTCTGCGCTACTTGCCTCCCATGTGTTTGTACCAAGGCTTTACAGCTGTGTGTTGGCTTATGCTTGTAAGCACACCACATCTTCCGTTGAAGAAACAGATCAAATACACCTTCCCTATGGTATTCTGTTCGCAGAATCAAAGAACTTCAGCATGGGGACGGCAGTAAAGCTGCGACCTGAGCGTCGGAGAGGAATTCCACGTCTGAAAAGGGGACTTGTATCATTCATGTGCGACGCGAAAGTGTGCTCTCATCCTTCCGAACCACATCCCAATACAAAATGAAGAAGTTCCTCGCGAACTTGGATCCTGACTCGCCACAATCCTTTGTTTGCGATCGTGGTGCGGGAAGCGGACGTGCGCGGTGAACGATTCAGTGACATGTTCACTCAACAAAAGACGATCGATGGGGACATCGCCAAGCACTAAACGTGACGCTCCAGATATGAGGGTCAGCATGATCCCTGCCCTGGTCGGTCGAGGGAGTCCCTTGAAACCTTGCTGTCAGGCCCTGACCCCGGGCAAGGAAGCCCCCGGCCAAACCATCTCGTGATAGTGTCTTGGCTGTCGGGACAGGGCCACCAGACCAAGTTGTGGTCAATGACATGCGCGTCCATGATTGCACCTTAATAAAGTCATATGAAATCGCAACGATGCCCGACGCAGCATGAATCTGCTCACCATTTCACTGCATTGGCTATGGTCACCGTCTTTTCTCTTCCCGTTGGGCTAGAGCGGGGACCTTTAATGGCATGCTGTGACTCGCGGCCAAGGATCGAGTCCGAGAAGAGGCAGGACCTTTGCTGGATATTATCCATGTTTCTGCAGCCCTTTATTACTACTATATGAAGCGGTTGGGTCAATTGACCGATATTGTGAGTGGTGGAGTCGGGGATGCCGTGCGGTTGTCGTGGTATAGATTCGGCCGACGCGATCACTCACACCGAGCTAGGATATTGTTGCGTGTCATGTGGTTCAGTTGTACGTCCGAGCAATCCGGACAACGAAAGATATCGGCCGTCTTCGCAATCTAGGTGGCTCGGCGGCTGATCAGCGTTGTGAACGCTCAGGCGCTCGGGTTCGGAGGTGCTGGGCAGTTGTGAGAAAAGGGGGTGGCGAGGATGCAGGTGGAGGGGACTGAGATCTGACAATGGAAGGAATGGGCAAAGCCCAAGGCAACAGAACAGGTTATCTTAAATTAGTCATGTTCGTCATATTTTTGCACAGCCCAGCAACTGCAGCATCACTTCAGTGGAGGTGGACGCTTTAGAAACTTTTACTGACGGCGGTGGTCAGAAGTTCGAACCGCTGCCTGCAGCCGGATCCAACCCTCCGAGAGGAACGGGACAGCCGGCGGTGGCAAACTCTATTTTGTCTTCAAAACTCTGCTTCATTGCCCCGTAGGTCGCCTCCGGCTGCGCTCTCGGTTCTGGAGATCATCTAACAAGCCTCTGGTCAGATCCGTTGCTACGAACAAGGCAGAAGGGAGCGCCGAATTTAAGGTCCATTTGACTTCTAGTTCACTCCTCGAAATCTTAGTTGCACAATTGTAACCTCGTTTCTCACTTGTGCCACAGACACAATCCTCCTATCTTCGTCAGAGGCTCTCTAACAGTGTCACAGGACATTCAGGCTTGTCAGCCCCGCTCCTTGCTGCTCAAGGCTGTCTCCTTGGCGATATCTGTGATTCCATGAGAGTCTTGCATTTCACTGGCTGATCGAGCTGCTTCTACCCGTGAGCCTTCAGCTCGGCCGCACTCTATGTGATGTGATGTTGTACTACAACGGTAAACTGATCCTGATGGCTTGGCTTCCACCCCGCCCCCCCTTCCCCTAGATATTCTCATCCCCGGTTCCTCGTGAAATCTTTTTCGCCTGAAGCGCTCATCAACAGCGAATTGATTTGATTCTTGAATATTCAGACTTTACTCGTGACGATGATCCTTCTCCGTATTATCACCAGTATCATTGTCAGAACGTGTCTCGCAGCATGCTTTCAGAGCTTGGAAAAACAAATTGCCATGGACGATTCGGACGATCCTCAGTTTATTGGATATTTTCTGGACGGTCCAGCCAGTCTGCCGGCCCCTCCCTTTTTGTCATTGGACTCTCATCAATAGCGATGGCTCTCTAACACATACAGCTGAACGACTAACCCTGTCATCGGGCACGAGCTGGTCGTCCTCCAGCACAGTTGCCGGGGAATGCAGCACATCCCCGTGCGTTCTCGCCGTCGATTGCACCAATAACATCCTCACCATGGCGAACAATGACAAGCGAACTTGGTATGGGTGCCTCGAAAGACTGACCGATCTTCAGCTGACGGACTAGTGCTGAGAGCTTTGCATGCGAGACCATGACAATTTACGAGACCTACCCTTTCGGCAAGCCGAGCGCGAAGAACTACAAATGTAGACTAGGCTGGTCGGCACACACGATCTACCGAGCGTTTGCCGAAGAGACGACGACATCTCTCGAGCCGCCCGCTCCCACAGACATCCCATCTGTGACTCCGAGCCCGAAGCGGTCGACCACGCCAAACACAGATCCGCAAACCTCGTCAGTGGCACCCGCGGAAACGCAGGAAGCAAAATCGGACCAAGGAGAAACCTCGGGCAGCAAGGCCTGGATCGCCGGCGCGGTCGCCGGCCCCATCGTAGGGCTGGCTGTGCTGGCCTTTGTCTTTTGGCTGGGGATGCGACACCAACGCCGGAAAAAGGTGCTTGCAGATGAGGTGGCGGCGGTCGGGGACAAGCCACGAGAGGCGGAGTCGAGAGAGCTGCATGGGTCCTTGTATTCGCCGGCATTGTCGGAACTACCCGGGCATGGGTCTTCGAATGGAGTGATGAAGACGCCCGGTGCTTCGTCGTGAGAGCTATGTGCCAGGATAACCGCAATTCGAGGGGGAAGCCTCTTTCAAACGCCTTTGCAACAACACAGACACCAATAGCTTGCTGCGGCTCTGTACTCCCGGGCAAGGGCCAGGGCAATATCTTGTGACCGCGGACGCCTCGATTCGTTACTGTGGCCGACTGGCTTCATAATTGTGGCTTGTCAAGGGCTGGCTGAAGATGAAACCGGCAAATGAGCACAAGAAGCAAAAACAAAGATGAATGGAAAGAGATAAAAAGTTTAATAGGGATATTGTACATTCCGCTCATTAAGATGGTGTGATATGGTGCATGATATACAGGTATTGTGACTGGGTCTAGGACCATTGTGCGTCTAGGACCATTGTGTTATCACTAATAGCCCAAGACAGAGCGCGTAACGAGATGGTTATCGAGGCTTTTGTAGTGGCAACATGCGCATGCACCTCGGTCATCGTCTTCAAGATCGGTCGTCCCTCACAGCGGGGGTAATTTTGTTCACCAAGCTAGTCAGCTGGGCGCGGACATCGAAGCTGTAGTCAGGCATCGTGGCTAGCACCTGCGTGAAGGGCCCCTGTGACTCGCTGGCCATGCTATCCAACGAGGCCTCGATGGCTTTGACAAGTTCGAGCGTCCCTTTGTCAAAGCTCAGGCCGGCGTGCTGCATTTCTTGAAGGAGGCCAATGACACCGCGGACGTCGCCGTTGCGACGCCAGTAAACGGTGGCCAGTTCGTTAAAAAAGCTGGTCGTAGCGCCAAGGACGTACGAGGCGAAGCCTAGCTCGCGAACACGGGGGAGAAGGTTGAAGACGAGGGGGGACGATCGGGCGAACTCCGTATCCAGGGCTTTCAGAGCCCGGAGAAGGTGCTGGGAGTATAGAGGGCCATAGAGGTTCATGTCGAGCTTCTCTTGCGTCTCTTCGACCGCTTTATTAGAGACATCTGCGACGCCTAGCTTGTCGATCATGGAGAAGACCTCGCGGTTCAGAACGTTCCAGACGTCCAGATCAGTGCGGCACTCCTTGACCAGCGAGTCGAATCGCTCAATTTCGGCTTCACGGGCCTCTTTTTGCGCTGCCAGTTGCTCTTGAACGAGAGGGTCAACCTCGACTGGCTTGATTTCCTCTGCTGCAACGTCTTCTTGGACTCTGGTCTGGTGGCCCAATGCAGCACGCACTGACCGGCGCAGCGAAGCAGGGTACTTGAGCATCCACTCAGGGGTGTCGGCGTCGGCCGATGCGGAAGAGATATGTTGGTTTTGCGTCCCCAGAGCTTCTCGCAAAGCTCGCATTGTTCGGTCTTGGCTGTCTTGCGGTGCATCGGAACCGAGGCCAGGAAACAGGGCGCCATTACGACTGCGCTTGGCTAGGTCGGCGAATATGTCGTTGAAGGCTCTCTTCTCGGTTGGTGTAATGGTCGAGGCATGACGCTTGTTTCGCTCCCGACGGGTGCCATCTTGGATTTCCAGGTTGCCTTCGTACCTAGAAGGTTCTTTTGCGGGCTCTCCCGCCCACTCGAAGGGAATGGTATCGAGGTTTCGATCTTGCGAACGTCGGTTTTGGCGAAGGCTACTGGCGTGAAAACATCGCCGCGAGGTCAGGGCAAGGGGCGTCTTCGATGTTGCGCACTGCAGGGTCCTCGTACGGTAGAGGAATGGAAGTAATGTCGACATGATTGCGGTGGTCGATGATGTGTCCGCTGTCGACCAGGCAGCTTCGACGAAATTTTGCAGAAGCTTTGTCGATGTCAAGGCACGGACGAGATACTCGACCCTGGTCGCATGTCTTACATAATATTTCCATGACGCGCTGGCGCATGACTTCGCGTCGCGAGTCCCCGCGCGCTTGGTCCAATTCAATTAACGCGTCTTCGTTCTTCTGGCCTGCTCGTCTGGCGCCCATCATTCATTCCCCTCGCCTGCCTAATTTCGTCATTGATTCGATTAGCTTCAGCAGGAAGTATATTCCTCTCTTGTGGCCTCTGCGACTCTATTTTCCTGGACACTTTCTTCCCGAAACCAAATGCGCAAGTGGCTCATCCCGCAATCCAAAATGCCCGTCACCAGGAGATCGACGGGGAGAACGGAGGTGAAAGCAAAGCCACAATACAAGGAGGATTCAGATTCGGAAACCGACGAACTCGCACGAGATGAGCAGGCACCTGAACCCGAATCTCCGCCGGTGCCAGTCAAAAAGGAGGCCCCCGCTGCTATGAGCGCCTTTGAAAAGCGTCGTCTCGAGAACATTGCTGCGAACCAAGCCCTACTCAAGGACATTTCGGCGACTGCGAGCAAGATTATCCCGGCGTCCAAGCCCACACCCACCCGAGCATCGAAACCGTCAAAGAGAACTCGAGATGCGCCTGTGAAGCGCGAACCAGCCATGGCCACGCGACGCAGCTCGCGTGTCGCCGGTCTTGGCCCCGACAAGGACGACGCAAAGCGTGCGTTTGAAGACACAGCACTCGAGTCACCTCTCGAGAGGGCGAAGCGCATGCGCTTCTCTGGCGACTTGAACCTCGGCGATGCCCTTGTGGAGGGGAAGAAGTGGAGCGCGGGACTTGAGGGTCTACAGGGCCTTAAGGGGCTTTCCCGTGGTGCTCAACCCGGCCAGCGAACGTTCACGGAGGACGATATCAAAAATACGACCGACAAAGACCTGAAAGACCTACGGCTACGCATGGATGGCCTCAAGCTCTACGAGGGTTGGATGCCAAACAGTACGTTTCTTCTCGCTTGACGCTGGCGCATTACAATTTTTTTTTCCTTCTGGCTCTCGCAACATGTGGCTGACGTTCTATAGCTATCAAAATCACGCCTCAGCGGGTCTACTCCCTCGGTTTCCATCCTACAGAGGACAAGCCTGTTATTTTCGCGGGCGATAAGGAAGGCGCGATCGGCGTGTTCGATGCCTCTCAGAAGGCTCCGGAACCTCCTGAAGACGAGGACGAGGAGTGGGACGAGCCTGATCCGATCATCAGCGCCTTTAAATTTCATACAAAGACAGCCTCGGCCTTTGTCTTCTCACCAGCCGACGACAACGCCGTATACACGTCTTCTTACGATTCGACGATCCGAAAGCTCGATCTCGAAAAGGGCATGTCTGTGCAGGTGTTTGCCCCCGATGATGTAATGGAGGACATGCCTATGTCGGCAATGGAGATGCCGACCAATGATTCGAACCTACTCTACTTTTCGACACTTCATGGCGGTTTCGGACGTCATGATATCCGAACACCTTCAGGCGAGCACGAAGTCTGGAGTTTGTCCGATAACAAGATCGGCGGCTTCTCTCTGCATCCGCTTCAGCCCCACCTGGTTGCTACAGCGTCACTCGACCGAACGATGAAGATTTGGGACCTTCGAAAGATAACCGGCAAAGGCGATCTCCAGCATCCTGCGCTGCTGGGCGAGCACGAGTCCAGGCTTTCTGTCTCCTATGCGTCGTGGAGCCCTGCCGGTCATCTCGCCACATCATCGTACGACGACACGATCAAAATTTATGACTTTACTGCTGCCAGCACCTGGGCGCCGGGCCACGACATTGGTGCAGAGACTATGACGCCGGCGGTGCAGGTCAAACACAACAACCAGACCGGTCGATGGGTCACCATTCTCAAGCCCAAGTGGCAGCTACAGCCAAGAGATGGCATTCAGAAGTTCACGATCGGAAATATGAACAGGTTCGTGGATGTCTTTGCAGCGGATGGCGAGCAAATCGCTCAGCTCGACGGCGATGGCATCACTGCAGTGCCGGCGGTGGCGCACTTTCACCCTACCCTGGACTGGGTCGCGGGAGGCAACGGCAGTGGCAAGTTGACGCTCTGGATGTAAGCGCATGATATGTTGTATGAACAGTGGTTTTTGTCCTTTGGATGTTTCAAGCGAGGGTGTTCAAGGGTTGGCTGGTATGTCGTCGTGCTTGTTCGCGGATTGGTTTGTGGCTCTACCATGTCGATGTAGACCTGGCAAGGCAGCTGTGCATGAGCATGGCTCATCACTCAGAGCTGACTTTACAGGTGAAGATCATGTTGCTACATTTGCGGTGGCTGGCAGGGTTGACAATGTTGGACGAAGTACTCCACATTACGAAAGCGACAACGATCCTGCTGCTATTTAGAGGCCTCCATTCTGATCGATGAATTTGTAATGGCAATCAACGGACAAGTTGAAGTGCAAGAATTCGCTATCAGGTTTTTCCTCCTAGCGTTGTATTCACCTTCGTTGCTCTAGCTACACTGACAGGTGCTGATGACGATGAAGCCGCTTATTCGTTTTTGTTATGGCTCGCATGAAGTGGTCATCTTATTCAGTCCCGTTAGATCGATCGTAGGGCTTGAGGCCTGATCCCTGTGGTCTGAGGTTTGTTCATGGAAGATCAACTTGCGACTTTGAGGTGCGTTACGTGGTTAGCCTTGGGGCGGAGGCTTTCCGAGCGGCAGGGAATGCTCGGGTTGAGTTCTAAATTCGGGGCACTGCTCAACGGTCCACAAAAGGATAAGCTTATTCGTGCACCGTTTCATAGCAAAAAGGAAGGAATCTTTGGCTAGCCGCCGCCTGCATTTGGCAGATGCGATTATGATCTTATCAATATCATCAGGATGGAATCCAAAAGGGGAAAGCCTGCTGATAGAGTCACGGAAGATCACATGTGATAGATCTGGTGATGGTGGATAGGGAAACTGAGGGCGCCCTGTGACGGGGTCCAGTAGCACGAGGCACATTGTGGGTTCCTTTCAAGGGACGTGGTGCCCGTGTGGGGATAGGTTGTCGTCATTGGAGCTGTCGATAGGCTTGGCCAGGCAGTCGTGCCGGATGGCCCAGGGCCAGTGGCTTCGATTCTAGGCTGTTATCGCTATCGGGATGGTTGATAGCACTCGTTACAGGGGAGACAACCCCCACCAAGACGCCCAGCGAGTGACCGCACAGCCAATCATGATTCAGACAGTACCCTGACCCCCGGCCCGGCAGCGGATGGCGCCAACCCTTAGTTGACCATCCAGG